TCACTGCACACACCGCACACACTTCACCTAAATTATTTACATATATAAAATGCACATGGACAACAGATACATGCTTAGCAATTGGTAGGCCATACAAATACTTACACCCTGCAGGATTCGAACAAATCAATGACTAATGGTAAACTACTACGCTGACGAGCCGTCATCGTATGACCCACTACACGTAAAATTACACATGAACAACAGCAGTATTAAAATATTGATATGTTAATACTGCTATCTATCAACAGTTCGTGTACTTTTTGATCAATTTCTAGACATTTGCCGAGGTGGTAATTTAAAAATACTTGCAAAAATGAATGAAGGTTGGAAGGGATGTCTTTTTTGACTACATCGGCTTTGTTTGGAAGGAACCTCTGCTAAAGTTACAGCCTGTATACGTCACACGTCTCTCCTCATTTCTGAGAGGGTTTTAGGGCAAGGAAATGTCTGCCGCGCTGAACCAATGCAATGACTTCACATGTCTTCGATTTTTTTTTCTTATTTCACAGACATGCAGGTTCCCTCACGATGTTTTCCTTCACCGCCGAGCACGTGGTAAAACAGGACTTAAAATTGCAAAATACAATTTCATTGGTGCTTGCGAGGATCGAACCCGAGTTGCTCGCGTACTGTATATACGTAAATTTACAGCGAGCGCTAACCATCTGAGCTACCACGGCTAAACCAGCTAACCCATGCTAAGCCGCTGATAACAAATGCCTCCGTGTTAGTTCTCTTTACGCAGTTGATAACTTCCAATTATTCACGGACATACCGACTTACCTATAATTTAGTTTCGTTTAGGGTTTCTTAGACTTCCTCTGTCATATTGATTTATTCAATAATGCAAATTTTAACATTTTTATTAATTTTTTTTTAAATACAATGTTAATTCAGCGGCTAATATGAGAGAAATAAGAAATTTATTTCATTATCATTATAGCCCATCACAAGTCCATTGCTGAAAATAGGCCACTACTGTAGATTGTCTCAAAGAAAATCAGTTATTTAGTTAAATAAACTAAATCATTTTAAACGAATAAATAAAAATGTCTTAGAAGCCCTGAAGCAATTCAAGCAAAATTATGTTTTAAGGCCTTGATGAAAAAGTTTTTTGTTCACATTTCAATATATTGTTCGCATTTTTAATTTAAAATTTCAAATAGCGATAACTAATTGCTTAGTTATTATTGTAACCATAACATTTAGACTTCATTGGCGTTTCCAACGAAGTCTTCAGCTGCTCAAAATAACCATGAACTCATTTCCATGACGCTTAGCTTGATAAATTGATGAAAACTTATCTACAACGAAATTATATATTTTTATATATGCATTTTTGCAGCCCGATGGTAGCACACAAACTGATCTCAGCATAGAGATGGAAAAGGTACGCATATTACAACTAACTGTGCATGTCTCGCTCTATACCAGCCCCTAACGCATGCTATGGTTTGTTTCTAGAGCAGGTGGAAAAACGGACAATGTTCTTTGAGCATACTATAACGGTAACTAATCTTTTTAGCATCTTCCCCACTTCAATTTTGAACTCTGTTTCATCTCTTTTCTACACCTACTATGTTCCTACAATTATTATATAATCTATACTATTATCTATATAAATAAAATGATAGAGGTTTGCAGTAGTGCGTGCATCACGGAAAAGCTACTGGATAGATTTTAATTGGGTGTTCTAAGTTTTATTTCTTAGACACTAGGCCCTTATCTAAAAAAAAATATTGCGATATCTTCATTCAGTATAAAGTTATTAAAATTTTAAGAAACAACGAGTTTTGTAAGCACTACATGTTCAGTGATGTGTTTTCTTGATATATCAAGCAACGCGGATGAAGTTGGCTGCATCTGCTAGTTATTAATAATATTATGATGTATTAATGGTGTATGTCAGAAAATATCAATTAAGTATCAGATTGGCCATAACAGTATATTTATTTTATATTCTGTTCCGTTTTGTATTAAAAATTTTAATAATCATAAATAAAAAATGAGTAGAAAATAAAAATAACAAAGCTCACAGCTTTAACTGAATGTACACAATTTTTCCTCAATGTCTTCTCAACACTACACTCAATTTAAACATGTCTAACCAGGTTTGTTATTTCTGAATGACCGCGTCTCTCACCGTACATAAAGATAAAGAAATGTATGAAGAGAGAGACATATTGTTTTCCCTTTACGCTAATATAATACTTAGTATCTGTAATATATTATATAGTATGTAGAGTAGGTGGCATTTACTTATACTCTATAATACGAGTAGTTATGGCAAGGCTTGTGAATCCCATCCTCGTCGCCACTGTAAAATAAAACATTCGATTGCTCCACGTCTATTCACAAGTCTTGCCTAACCATCTCCACACTTTTGACATATATCTCTTATAAGTAAATACCACCTACCCTACATACTATATAGTATATTACATTATCTTTGTCCGTTTTTCTGCTTACCCTGGAAACCAACTTTAGTTCTAACCGTTAACTAAAAATGCCACTGTACCTTTTTCATACTCTATGTCCCCTTGCTTTTTAATTAATCACACTATTCCATTAGTCCTATAAATTGCACCAGATCATTATTATTATTTGTTATTTCATCAATATTTTCCGGCACTTTTAACTGCATAATATCTATTTATATGCATTATACATCGGTTAAACTATATTTATTTAGATAGACTAAAAATAATTATATATACTTACATAAATCAATTTTTTACGGATTATATCGCGTTTATTTTAACCTGTTTTTAAAATCCCGATAATTTAAGTGCTTTACAGCACTCGTGGTGATTTTAAATAAGTCTCAATAAACGCGATAGTAAGAAAAAATTGTTAAATCCAACGTGTAAAGTTACAACAAATCCTACTATACGTGTAAATACAAGAAATCATAAACATTTTTTTTTTTAATTTCTCTTATTTCCACCTACGTTAATATCACAAAATATTATTGAAGCGTTTACTTTATACAAAAATTTATTGTAACTAACGTAACGAGATGAAAATAAAGTGCATTATTAAATATTTTTGATAGACTTAAATTTAGACCTGGTTCTTTTAATTATAAAATATAGCAGCTAATTTGTCATATTAATCGTATAAATATTAAACGATTCTAGATATAATTTTTTTCTACTTGTTAAAGAGTATTGTGTTCCATTGTTTTTTTTTTACATGTGAATGTTTAAAATTGATATAATTCAACTTTTTTACAGTTACAAAAAGCTTTAAAAGAACAACAAGATGTGAACGTTCAACTGAGGACGTACATCGACGGCATCCTACTAGCGATAGTTGAGAACTACCCACAGCTACTAGAAGTCAAATATCCCAAGCCGGAAGAGAAATCATAACAAATAACTATTTTATATATATGTTTGCATGTAAGAATATATTTCTTAACATTCACTTATATTTTTTAAAGATATTTTCATTTAAACATTTTAATATTCGATAGACCTAGTGTTATTACTGTGATAAAGTTATAAAAATGTATTATTATCGCGAGATTTATCTCGGATCTTAATATAGGATCGATTTCAACTAATTCCAATACAAAATTTATTAATATATTAATTATTTGTTAACGTATTTCATTTGATTTGAAATACTATAAACTATATATGAATAAAACAGTTATTAAATATAAATTAATGTAAAACATAGCAACCTTATATACTGCAAAATTTAGAGAAAATAAAATATGATATAAATATGTCTACAATTAATTCCTTCAGTGCCCGCTCATCCAGAGTATAGGGATGAGCTCGTATGTCATAAGTAGATTCAAATGTAAATATTGTGTAGTGTAACAAATTATACATGATATATATATAATGATATTATTAACTCAAAAGTGGTGTATATAAAATATTCGGCAATATTAAGGGCTTATATTGTTATGAATATTTGTTAGATGAAATTGTATACAATATTAATCACGTGTTTATAATGTTTGTCATCTGGTAGGTTTATAAGTCCATAGTCCAAAAACTTGTGAAAAACGTTGCGGCCTTATGCACTAACCTAAAATTAACACTTTGAGTGGCCGATTTGCAGACACAATAATAAGGAAATAGCAATGACCCATATGTGGGTCACGTGACAGGGAAAGGGATAAAATTGTTCTACTCAAATGACTGTGTTATTTCTGTCTCTTAATGGCAACGAGGTTAGCCAAGTTGTCTTTCTACAATCGTTAATAGCTTATAATATAATGAATAAAACCAATGTCAACGTTACATGACAGTTGCTTACCTAACCTTAAAATATGTCATTCCCATTAAAAATTTTTAGTTTTCTATAAGCGTTAACGACTGTAGAGGCCTTGGCTAAACACGCGGGCGGTGTTCTTAAAGGCGTCGGATTTATGTAAAGGATCGCCATCAAAATTTAGAAAGTTCATTCCATAATTCGCAGCTGTGAAATTTTAAATTTAATTTTGTTTTTGTGATATACAATTTCATCTTATTACAAACTATACACAAGATCTGAAGAAGCATAGAAAATTATAAATGAATAGGCCATGCCGTCCATAAACCGTAGCGCTACTTAATTTTTAATGAAAGACTGGGTGTGTATCGTATGGGTGAAGAACATTTAGATAGATCGCTATTATGTTATTATAAAAATGTAAATTAATAATTTATACCAAGCCATTATAACATATGATCACATAATCCGAAGAAAAATCGGATATTGAATACTAGATAATTATATTAGTACCATCAATATATTTTAATTAATAATATCATAAGAGAGATTGTGTACCTATATTTTTTACATTTAGATATTTATGGAGTAAGCTAGCATGTAACTTTCAATGCATTTGCGTAAACTTTAGTAGCGCGATGCACTATGTATAAAGTAATGCATATTAATCCGCTGTAAAAGTCATGGAATGAAAATTAAATGAAAGAATTCTAATACTTTTATTCAGTCTTTTATTGCATGCCCATTGCATATACAATACAAAGTTATTTCTTATCTACTGAGCCTCCTTTCCCTTCTATTTTATTGATTACTTTTTGAACATCGAGTCGTAACATCATAAACTTTGGATCCATGTGGTCCTGAAAAGAGAAAATTTTATTTTGACTTATTAGTATCGACGTGTAATGATTTCTAAGTGTAGGTGACAGATGTTTAACTATTTTTTTCTACCATAAGATAATACTTGTTTGTGTTTTACCATTGTTACTACAAAGATTGTTTTATCTTTAGAGAATAAACTGTTGCAAATAAAATGATCTTACTTTTCAAAATGAGTTATATTAGACAAAGAATGTTAATCGTACAGCGTTTGGTTGACAAGTGAGATGACATTGTGAATTTGCTTTGAGAAGCACATGAGCGTCTGCTGACGAGCTGAAGGCAATCACTCATTTCACACTTAAATCACTTCAAGCATTAATCCTGAACAAAGATTATTAGTCCATAAAGGACAATGAGCAAAAATGTATGAAGCCTGGGCTCACCCACCAACAGAGTGAGATCACTTTGAATATACTTGTACTGCAATAAATATAAAGATATAAACTCATTTATGTGAAGAATCCATAGGGTTAATTTTCTATAAATATTTTTCTCCTACCATAAATTAGTTATAATCCTGCAAAGTAATGCTGTTATGAAATTTTAGTTTCTGTTGTTTGACATCTTATACTAATTTTAATTTCAGGTGCAAAAATTACATAAAAAATATAAAACAACTGTTATCAGTTAAAAATATTTTTATTTTTAACTGATAACAGCTGTTTATCAGTTAAAACATTTCAATCAATAATAATATCGTTTACTGTGCGCCTACGTGTTAGACACGAGCAGTAATATTGTGCGATGGTATCTGGACCTATTTCATTTCTGTTGACCAGAATATATACGTAATGTGTACGTGCTCGAACATGTCTTGATTGTATTCATTCTCTTAATAGCCACACATTTTGGTGTTGGATATTACGTGCTGCTAAATTATGAATTCATTTTCACGATAGATTTCTATCGTACCTATATAAACCATTGCGTAAATGTTCGCTGCAATATAACTTATCCTAAGTATATCCCTTAAATGGACCCAAGGGATATAGAGTACAAACTAATAAGAAGTGCTAGCGCAAGTGCATATAGAGATATAGTAGGAGTGGTAGTATAATATAGTTAGAGTGGACGGGCGCCCGCAGACGTCCGAAAGGTGTGAGAGGGATAGTGAGTGTTGTAAATCATACGGGCGCAGGCGCATCTATTGTTTACCATTATTTTAAAGTATGAATTTATTGATTCTTTAAAATGATGGTAAACAATAGATATATATAATAACAGTTTTACGACTACCAATTGTCTTTTTCTACAAAACCTATTTAGGTGCATATCTTTTTTCTGCAATGGAATTGAAGGTGGTACCGATAGTAACAATTTAAGTACAAACAAAATCCTTTACAATGTCATATGCCACAATTCTGTTGGACACTGAGCCCAATTTGACGCATGGTCTTTTATTATTTTTTTATTTCATCTCCAACTACTAAACGTCATTTGTCAAATTCATTCAGTTCATTCATGCGAATTTTTATGATTATTAATGATTAATTTATTTGAAGTTTTATGAGTAAGTGTGATTTCTTGCAATATGAGTTGAGATAAAAATGTACATATCGTAAGTATTGTTGTTCTTCTTATTACGCGTGATAAATAAATATATTGGCTATAATATTAATGCAATTTAAAATTAAACATACTTCTTCTTCTTAATAACTGGCTTTACGGCTCTGGGATCTAGCACTTCTGAGCCTGAAGTTACAATATATTATAATAATTATCCTTCATAGTATACTGCTTCACAATATGTTGATGGGTCACATTGTGCAGCCCTTGGGAGATTTTGACGGCAACATAAGCCAGCAGACAGCTGACGGTTGGCGATGGCATCTCAAGGCGCCTAAGCAGACACACCTTATTTTGAGAATCACATCACCATCAGAGCACTTGTTTAACAGTTTCCACTAATAGTTCACATGCACCGACACTTAATACATAAAATCGCACCACTTTTACATATCCAAGTCCACTTAAAACCATTATTCAAAACAATAATACAGGAGCAGCAAACCGCCGCCGGTCAAGTTCCCGCCAAAACTCCACTAACATATACCATACTCATTACATTACAAATGCTCAAAATGTGACATGTCACCTGTGGGTGACACTGGGCAATATTTATTATCGCAACTCTTGGTTTCTTTTGAATTGCTTTGTAGCGGTGGATGGTATTTTGGAGCATGTTTACGTTTTACGGGTTGACGTTAGATGAGACTGCCGAGGAGTTGCAAGCCGGGGAGGACCTAGGCAATATCATTTTTTTATGAAGACTCCAAACGTCACCGGATTGCGTATATTAGTTACAGACGGATTCCAAACGTCACCTGATTGCGTATATTAGTTACAGACGGATTCCAAACGTCACCTGATTGCGTATATTAGTTACAGGCAGACTCCAAACGTCACAGGATTGCATATATTAGTTACAGGCGGATTTCAAACGTCGCCGGATTGCGTGTATTAATTACAGACGTACTCCAAACGTCACTGGATGACTGGATTGCGTATATTAGTTACAGGCAGACTTCAAACGTCACCGGATTGCGTATATTAGTTACAAACGGATTCCAAACGTCACCGGATTGCGTATATTAGTTACAGACGGATTCCAAACGTCACCTGATTGCGTATATTAGTTACAGACGGATTCCAAACGTCACCTGATTGCGTATATTAGTTACAGGAAGACTCCAAACGTCACCGGACTACGTATATTAGTTACAGACGGATTCCAAACGTCACCTGATTGCGTATATTAGTTACAGGAAGACTCCAAACGTCACCGGATTGCGTATATTAGTTACAGACGGATTCCAAACGTCACCTGATTGCGTATATTAGTTACAGACGCATTCCAAACGTCACCTGATTGCGTATATTAGTTACAGGCAGACTCCAAACGTCACTGGATTGCGTATATTAGCTACAGACGGATTCCAAACATCACCGGATTGCGCATATTAGTTACAGACGGATTCCAAACGTCACAGGATTGCGTATATTAGTTACGTCTGACTGTATAAACGAGATGGTTATACCGCCATCTATCGAAAACCATAGGATTTTCTGGCAAGTATGACAGCCCTTGTTACAAATTACTTTCGAAATTATTTAAAGAAAAGGAATATTTCTCAGTGACATCTTTTACATTATAAAACATTAATGGAACACAGCTGCTAACTGCTTAAGTTAGAAGAAAAAACACGTAATACCAAAAAAAGATTAGAGTATGCGAACCAACACAAACACCGCCTATGTAATTAAAAATTACTTCTTAGCCCAACGTAGACAGGTTCTCTCGGTAGGTTACAGTTCTATTATAGGAAAATGTTTGCCGACCGAGAAACATCAAAACATCACATCACTTGTATTATATTTATACAACGACCTTTAGAAAATAAAAATTAAACTTTTAATACTCAGAAAAGACTATATACAATTACTTTTAAAAATAAATAATTAAAAATAACGCGCGTCGTTCGTGACTCGTGTATTATTCATAATTATACAGAAACAGAAACTTTTTTATTCAATATAGATTGTAAATAATACTTATTGAAAGTTACACTTCTGTTTAATTACCACTGGTTCATTCTGGAAATTGCATAAAGAGAACCGCGGGGACGGCAATACTACTCCTCCAACTATAATTGATGGTTAAGTATTCAGAGATTGTTTGAACTAGTAGTCGTAAGGACGACTGGGTTTATGTGTTAACAAATTCACAGTAGCAGCCCGGAGTTAGGAAAGAACTTTTTACGTGGTAGAGCCACGCTGCAGCTACATTAGAAGTATAGATGTAGCACGAATGGGTCGGCTCGACCGGGAAGGACCATGCTCTCACAGAATACCAGCGTGAAATAGCAACTCAACGCTGCTGTGTTTCGTATGGTGATTGTTGAGAATCTGAGACCCTTCTTACCGGAAACGAGGCATTCCATCTTAGTCCTCACGGGTGACAACGCATCTACATCTTGATTCGTAATCGAGGATAGATGTAGATATCTATGGGCCACAACAACCACTTACCATCAGGTGGACTGTGTGCTCGTTTATCACCCTTATCCTATAAATAAAACGGAAGTTGGAGGTATTTTACTCCCGAGCCTTGTTATTATTGATACAACTAACCTTAAAAGTTCCTGTTTCCGTCGGTTCCAAATGCTCACCTTCATCTTCTACATCATTGGAATGTCTTACATCTTGTCCGGTTAAATTAACCAACCCACTGTCGTGTTTCAAACTAAACGTCCTACCCATAAGATGAGCCATTTCCTGCTCTATTGCACTCAAAGCATGGCTGACATTAGCTTCACCATAGTCTCTAGACACGGGCACGTCATAAGTCTGCGAATGGTATGTGGATTCAAAATTATACTGAGGCGTTCTTGGCATGGAACGACATAACGAGCATTGTTGCCTACTCTCCATTTGCTTCCAATCATTATGCAGACTGATCCTTTCTCGAGACAACACGATCTTCTCTCTAGCGATCTGTTTTTCTCTCGCATTCAAAGATACCACATGTTCTTGTATGCGACGTATTCTCTCTTCGTACCTTCTTTGTTGGCTCTCTGCTTCTGCGTACTTCTTTTCAGCTTGAGATTGTTTCTCTATGGCCGCTTTAGTCAGCATTTCTACATCTTTACTCCTAAAACCGAATGCACCTCATTTTACACAATAATCACTTTACAATATTCCCTACCTCTTTACCCTATAAAGACCATTACAATTAGAAAACACTTGGCATAACCTCTTATAAAATAGCTTGGTGGTATAAAATAGAAAGGTGCAGTGGCTTAGCAATGAGTTTCAACGCTTGGGGCGGCGGGTTCGAATCCCGCACGGAACAAGTATTTGTATTACATACAAATAAAAAATTAGATAATGTTTGTCCTTGTGCAATTTATGTTTGTAAACTGCCTCCAGGATACAGGAAAAAAATTCATTAGACAATTTATTATCTAAAGTCAACTAATCTTAATATTAAGGTATTAGTCGAAATAAAGCTATGGATATACTTGGGGACAAAATGAGCGGCATATGTCGCGGAACATTTTGCAGGCGACACTAGTCAATACTTATAGAAATGTCGCCCGAGGAAGTGATGGCGATTAGTGCTGCGTTCATAGTACCTATTTCGGGAGTGAAACGTAAACGGAGGAGAGGGTGGTTGATGCGGAATTTCTTACTACAACGAGAAGAAAGAAGAATTAATATTTTAAGTGATCTAAGAATGTCTGCCGGATCTTTTGTGAATTTTACTCAAATGTCAGTTTTGAAACTTTATTACAAATGATCTGACCTTCCATAGCCAAACAGGGTACAATACTACGGAACGCTGTTGGCCCTCATACCAGACTTGCCGTAGCATTAAGATACTTTATCAACTGGAGATTCTTATGCTTCCTTGTCGTACACTTTTCGAGTGTCTAAACAACAGATCGGCAGAATAGTACCAGAAGTTTGTGGGTTGAAGTATCCCACAACAAAATATGTCCACAGCTCAAGATGGGACATATTTTGAGAACAAATGGCGCCACACCACACTGATGCGGGACACGTGGCACGTAAGCTCGCTCTCGGAGCGGGAACTAGCAACATATCCCGCGTTACGTAAAATGTTGCGGTTCACTGTGCAACGTTGCATCGTCACCTAAATTGAGGGTACCGCGTCATGTTGCGGGACAAAATGTCCCCTGGTGTATCCGGGGCTTAAAACTCAAGTGTAACAAAGCTAAAAGTAGAAAATCAATTGTTAAACTTACTTCGCTATTATCCGTTGCTCTTCCAAATGTAATTCTTGCTTTTCTAGATTCAATTTTGACCGCTCCTCGGTGATTTCTTCTAACTGGGCTTGCAGTTCAGCCTTTGTTTTCTTCAAAATATTATATCATTCATTAGTAAACAAAAATTTGTGTCATTAGTGTAATGAATTCTGTTTTTCAGTAAATCAGCATCATCATCATTTTTGTTTATCACCCAAAAATCAGTGATTTGTAGCGCACAAATACAGTCCACCTGATTGTAAGTGGCTGCTGCAATCCATGGATACCTACAAGCTACTTCAAACAAAGAAGTCTGCAGATGAGTTGTCACCTCTGTAAGGACTATGATGTAATACCCCACACCCTGTAATTATTATATTACGGTAATTCCTTCAAATAAGGAAATTAAAAAAATGCAACTTGTAATTGTAAGAAATTTTTAATAGATATATATTACAAAGACATAATCCTAAATTAAAGTTGTTGTCACATAATTTTGATTGTATTTTTTTAAATATATGTTACTAAATAAACCATGATACAATACGATTTACTGCGAATATAAAGTTAAGCTACTTCTGCACAGAAATATTTCAAGCTGTTGTAAAGACACTATATTTTTTTAGTCAAAATTTTACAGTATTTTATTACAAGGCAGTGTTTTATTCAGCAACGCTAATTACGATGCACCTAAACGGTGCTACGTCAGTTCACTTTTCACAAATGTATGACCTGTACCGGAGAACTGGCTTGCAGAATTGGAGATAGTGAACCATTCTCATATTCATTATTATCATCCTTAGTGCCTTCTTATAGAACACACGGACTTTCGGCTGCCAGCCCAAGTCAAAAAAGTCTTATCCAAGAGTACAAACATAACGAACGGGTATCTAGTCTATGGTTTAGTTAATGCATTGAAACATTGACATAATATAAAATAATCTATACGATCTGAGGAATTTTACAACACTTATGCTTTATACGTGGTAGAGCCACGCCGGAGCCTGCAGCTATATTATGGACCGGGAACGGACCACGCTCACGCACAAAATAACAGCGTGAAATAGCAGCTTAATGATGCTATTTTTCGTATGCTGAGCGTAGAGAACCATAGACCCTTTTTACAGGAAACGAGAAACGAGACGTTCCATTAGTCCTTAGGGGTGACAAGTGACAACGCATATGCATCATGATTCTTAATCGATAGATATAGATGTCTATGGACCACAGCTCCACTTACCAGTTGGACTTACATAGGCTGCACTAAAAGTATCGGGAATGGAATATTTCCACTGTTCCTGTTATATTAAAATCTTTTTAATTAAAAACTCCTTGGTTTTAATAATCGAATACCATTTATTTATTTAAAAAAAGGATTCTCGGTCTTGTCACAAGGTTTTGTCAAACTTGTTTAGTCGTTAAGAAAATGGAATTGACTCGAGAAAATTCAAGAGCATTGATTTATTTTGACTTTCGAAGTGGTTTAACACAAAAACAGTGTGTTGACCGGATGATTTCTGCATTTGGTGATGAAGCCCCATCCAAAACCACAATTTATCGCTGGTAATCTGAATTTCAACGTGGACGTGTCAAGCTCAGTGATGATCCCCGTCAAGGTCATCCAAAAACTGCAGTCACCCAAGAAAACGTTGATGCTGTGCATAAGCTGATTGAGGAAGATCGACATGTGACATACCGCGAAATTCAGGCAACTTTAGACATTGACATGAGTCAAATACAAATAATCTTGCATGAACAATTAGGTGTAAAAAAGTTGTTTTCCCGATGGATACCGCATTCGCTCTGTGAAGAGCAAAAAGCGGCTCGCGTTATTTGGTGCGTCAGAACTCTCGAAAGATTCAATGCAGGATCCTCAAATGCTGTATACAACATCATATCAGGTAACGAATCCTGGATATACGCGTACGAACCCGAAACAAAAAACCAGTCACGAGTTTGGGTGTTCGAAAATGAGTTAAAGCCAACAAAAATTGTTCGTTCACGGAGTGTTGCAAAAAAAAATGGTGGCCACGTTTGTCTCCAAAACCGGCCATGTTACGACTATTCCTCTTGAGGGACAAAGAACGGTTAATGCAGAATGGTATGCTAGTATTTGTTTGTCACAGGTCGTTTCTGAACTCCGTAAAGAGAACTGCAACCGCCGCATCATCCTCCATCACGACAATGCGAGTTCTCACACCGCACACAGAACAAAAGAGTTTTTAGAGCAAGAAAACATAGAATTATTAGACCATCCGCCGTACAGCCCCGACCTAATGATTTCTATACTTTCCCCAAAATAAAGAATAAATTGCGTGGACAGAGATTTTCATGACCTGAAGAAGCTGTGGACGGCTACAAAACGGCCATTTTGGAGACCCTAACCTCCGAATGGAATGTTTGCTTCAATGATTGGTTTCATCGTATGGAAAAATGTGTCAAATTTCGCGGATAATACTTCGAAAAGCAATAAACACATTTTTAAATAGTAATGTTGTGTCACTTCCTTGATTCCCGAAATTTTCAGTGCCGCCCTCGTATTATATAGAAAAAAATTTACCTCGAGGTCCATCTTTATACTTAATATAGAAGCTTTCTCTTTTGCAATAATAGCAGTGTCTTTTATTGCTTTCTCCTTTTCCTCGTTAATTTTATCGACTTTCTGTTGATATTCTTTTTGTAAATCCTCTTTAAGCATCTGCAAAATATGCCACTCAAAGTTTTATTTGGAACTAAACTAGTTTAATGTTCTTACACCCTTCTTTGCGTGTAAAATATTGTACAAATATACAAATAGGTATTCATTCATAACAGATAAAAAGAATATTTTATTACAAATGATATTTTAATTATTTCAAACCTTTATTTCTTCATCTTGCTTCTTAAGAACAGTCTTAGCAAACTCCGTTTGTTTACTGAACGTTGCTTTTTCGAATTCGAATTCCATTTTCTTCTGTTTCAGAGAGATCGAATCTTCTTCGATCATCTGTAATAATTTATGTACCTTTAAAGTAGGCCCAGGCCTCCTCGCGTTTATAAGATTATTATGGAGGAAGATATATTATAAAAAAAATATACCTTGCCATTAATTTCGTCATCCCTTTCAACCTGCGTCGTATTTACCGCAGCACCCCATAAATATTCCATTGCTGCACAAAAGCGTCTTAAATTTTATGCTTTAATTTATGGGTAGTTATTTTATTTTGTAGGTAACGTTGAAAAGTACCCTCATGGTATTACACATTAAATTAAATTACTGTGCAGTTAAGGTTATCGTGGTGATGGAAGAATATCTACTACCCCATATCATCCCGTAAGTGTCATTTGAGGTGACAGAGGAAACAAATCAGGAGATGGACAGCAGCATCTTCCTAATAACGACAAAAAATAAAAAAACTGCGGTTGCCAACACGCTTGCCAAGCGTGGCAATTATGGCAAATATTCCCCATATGTGGCAATCTATGGCAGAGATCTATGTTCAACAGTGGACTTTAATAGACTGTAGCGGTAACGGTTCTGTTTATTTTAATATATAAAAAGAGAAAAGAAAGAAAAGGACCATCAATATATAATCATAATTTTTCTGAGCAGATTTGTACGATAGCCACTCATCCCGTTTCGACTTCCAACTTTATGGAAAACAAATCTTTATAATATCCATATAATAATTAATAATAATCATTTTGAAACTTCTTACCGTTGTCATTTGCTTCAGTCTTACTTCGAGCATGTGGATCATATCTTTACTTTCAGTTTTTTCTTTTTCGAAATACTCTCGCTCTTTTTTCAATTGCTCTATCATATCTAAAATATATACATATATTCAAAACGTATTTTTAAACTAATATTTCATAATTTTCTAAGTGATAAACTAGCTAATAGTTGCCCTGGTGGTAAATGGTTACTGCAGTCCATGGGGACGCCCGCAATGAACTACCATCAAAGGCCACACATGAGTGTTGCCCGAAGTGAGGTTATGAAATGCCTCACAGCCTGTAATTTAATTTTTAGAATATGGGTGACACACGAGCACACGGTCCACATGATGGTAAGTGGATGCTGTGGCCTATAAACATCTACATTTATTCTCAATTAAGAATCAAGATGCAAATGCGTTTTCACCGCTGATAACTGAGATGGATGCTTCGTTTCCAGTAAAAAGGGTCTCCGGTTCTCTACACTCATAATACGAAACACGTTAAGCTGATATACTACGCTGGTATTCTATGAGAGCGTGGTGCTTCCCCGGTCGAGCCGACCCATTCGTGCTACAACCATAATATAGCTGCAACGTGGCTCTACCACGTATAAAAAAATATACTGACTGTTTCACTTTTCAAAGCCGAACAGAGCAATAGGTCCACAGTTGTTAGACGCCAGAAATAGGCCAGAAAGTGGTGGTACCAACCCAGTCAGATTCCTGAGCAGAAGGAGGAGCACTATCCCCCAGAACCATCACATCGCTCTTCTGCTGTTTGTTGCCATATCTTATTTAAAATTTGTGCACAGGTATTATGCACTGAGCTAAAAAGGTAACATAAAACTTATTAAAATGTATTATCATCGTGTATAAAATTATTAACAATGCTTATTGAAATAAAATCAAATCAAATCTTTGTCTGACGTGTTATTTGAACCGACATTGCCGAAGAATCTTTGAACGGCAGACGAGGAACGAAACAATGATACTCTGAAAGTTTCTGCAGGTATATGCCTAAGCGATTCTAATTACAGCGCTAACAGGTCCTAGCTTTGCCTATCAGACTACCGAAAACCTCAGATTAGACTGGAGACGGATTTCCTTCTGCCGTTGCCACATGGCTCATCCTTAATCAATAATTGCATTATGTTTAGATCACTAAGTTATACCCTGAATTATTAAGAAGTAAAAAACTACTTTACCACGTACAACTTGTACGTAGTAGAAGCCATGCTGCAGCTATATTATGGTTGTAGCACGAATGGGACGGCTCGACCGGGGAAGGACCACGCTCTCACAGAATACCAGCGTACAATAGCAGCTTAACACTGCTGTGTTTGGTATAGGTAGTCAGTGTAGACAACCGGAGACCCCTTATTACTGGAAACGCGGCAATCTATCTTAGCCTTCAGGGGTGACAACGCATCTGCATTTGGATTCTTAATCGACGATAAATGTAGATGCCTACAGACCACAGCATCACTTACGATCAGGTTGGCCGTGTGCTCGTTTGTCACTATTATTCTATTATAAAAAATGTAGCTTAAATCGCTAAAACAGTCCCTTTATCATGACGTACTCAACGAATTTCAATATTACGTATTACCATTAACTTGGGTCTCGCGCAGCTGCAAACTCCTTTCTGTATCACGCTGTGTATTGCCAGTCAACGTTTCAACTTTTTCTACTAGTTGCTGACATTTTAATTTATTCTCTTTTATATCTGCTATTAAATGTTGCATATCTGTAGAAAATCCCGCTGAGTCTTGGATTAAAACTTGCTCCTGTTTTACAGCGTTTCTGAAAACGCACACAAATCATTTATCTTAACTTATGAGTTAGAATAATATGTATATTATTATTTTTAAAGTTAAAAAGACAAGGGCGCGAAGACTCGCGTATAAAATGTTAGCACGCTTGCTGTACACTACATTTGCTGAGAACTGTACATGCGCAATCCATGTTTATAACTGCGCCACAACCTATATTCTGATTTGAATGAAAAACGACAAGGAGCAAACTGCAAACTACTTACTACTGTACAGCTGTCTGGTCTCGAATCCACCCAGTGCTAACATTTGATTGGTTTTTGAATCTGGTTGTGTTGTAACTGACCACTTGTATTACAAGATTCCACTGCTTTTAAATAGCAAATTATGCAGTCGTCAATTTGTTTATGGCTTCAACGATAAAAGACAGAAAAATGTTCTGAGGTTTCAAAATTGCTTTATATCTTATCAGCCTATTACTCAGAAGAAATTGTTAGAAAGTTAACACCTACTAAAATGATAACCTGGCCGATGACCGAGATGACCGAGATCACGACGACAACTACCGGATAATGTCGAAAAACTCAACTCTCGTCTACTCGTGCCCCACGTAACTATCCCTAACGAAGTATTTGCCCGTGGTGGGATTTAAACTTTTTAAGCTAGTCGCTTCGAATCCCAGCAAGAGGGAAGAGCCCGCCAGGTTCTCATACTATTCGAACTCATGACCGTTATTAAATTGTATTAACACATTAATATAATAGTCTTACTTTATATTCTCCATGAGCGCGGAATGGTGCTCCTGTAATACGTTTACATCCTCTAAATGTTGGTGTCGCAGCATTTCTTTTTCCGCATTATACCGTTCAATCAAAGAAGAAGTGTTTTCTTCCATCCATTTTTTATAAAGTTGGTGATGCTCTTCCAGCCAACTGATTTTCTCCATATAAAACTTTACCACTTTATCGCTCTCTTCTTTCATTCTTTCTTCTGTTTGACTCAAAGAAATTTCTAAATATGCAAGTTGTCTTCTGCACAAAAAAAAATAAAGTTGTTAAACAAACGAACGGATCTTTGGGCTGTCAATTTACTAAGCGCGGATTTTTTCAACTCTACTTAACGAACACGTTGACGTTAAAAATGGCACAAACTATCGTCAACTAGAAAAAGAGTCGTTTCACAAAATGTTGGTCTTAACGTACCTTAAAATAAATGTGTACGTGAACCATACTACTACTCGCGTATAATACGGTTGTAGCACGAATGGGTCGACTCCCATTCGGAACAAGGAAAGACCAAGATGTCACAGGATACCAGCGTGAAATAGTGGCTTCATACTGGTTTGTTGTGAGTGTATTAAGTGTTTCGTATGGTGAGTGGAGAGAACCGGAGACCCTTTTTACTAGAAACGAGGTATTCTATCTTAGTCCTCAAGGATGACCACGTATATGCATTTTGATTCTTATTCGAGTATGTAGATTATGTAGATGTCTATGGATCACAACATCCACTTACCATCAGGTAAACTGTAAGTAAAAGTGTGTGTCACCCTGATTCTATAAAAAATCAATTACAATACCTTTTTATCCGGACTGCCTACATCATCTTCTACACGTGGTTAATCCTGCGCACTTGGATGAGACTCTGGCAACCGACAAACGACCGTATATGGGCGATAGAGTGTCTTACTCCCACACGACACTATTTCCCTTTACACCGCCACAACAGGGCACCATAAACTTACCAACTACTGAACATGGCCCACTCCCACAGATTGCCTCATAGGGAGGATTTTGTCATAGCTGCCACGCTTAGCAGACGGGTTGGCAGCCGCAGGTTTTTGTTATTTTGAGTTGGTATTAGGAAGATGCTGCTGCCCGTCTTCTGTTTTAGTTTCCCTGTTGTCGCCTCTTACTTACCACAGGACGATATGAGAATGCACAATATAAACACGTAAATAGTTCAATGACTGAGTTAAACAGTAGTAAAAAGCACAGGGCCCGTGTACTCGCATTAAATTTCAGAAAACAAGAGCGATCCAAGTTGCCTATAAATCAATGTATGGTTACTATTATTATGTATTGGTTTATATTAGACTACCAATTTACCTACATATATAGTTAAGGAATGGGAAATATAATATGAAAAAGCACGGGTAGTAACATAGAAACAACACTTAATTTTACAAAATTTTATGCCACGTGCTTTATGATGATGAATAATATTATCTACAAAGAAATCTTGTGACCTTGCGACCTCCGTAAAAGGATGATATAGCTATTTCCTATAACGTATCTGTGAAATCCTTACGCCCAGCATTCCATCTATGCTTCGAAGTTGATTGTTTATGGACTGACAAGGATGTAGCGTATTATCACAGTACTGTGGTAATTATAAATGAAGTTTTTAGTACCTATATGATGTCTCCATTAAGTTTATTTCCTTATCGTGGTTTTCTTGCAGTGATTGAATTAATTGCAGTAATTGCTTCTTCTCTTTATTACGAGGACTTTCTTCATTGCCTTTAAAACCAGTTTCAGAATTGTATGCTGGATCATTAGCGTCATCTTGCACGACATCATTTGATCCTAAGAGTTCCTACAATTAAACAAAATATTTTAGCATTTTTAAAGTGTTATAATCTACACAAAGGTTAGGCCTGTTAAGGCCAGCCCAATCGTTCTAGACAGTTAAGACGTGATCCCCCTCTGTAGAAACTAAAACTTATGATACCTACTTACCTTTATTCTTTGTGCAATGCGATCTTGATGTGCGTTTATTATAGCTTGCATCTGAAGTCTGTGATTTGCTTGCCGCTGCAGCATGGCGTCCAATTGTGCGTGCTGGGCGAGAGCGGCTTCACGTTGAACTCGTTGAGCTTCCTTTTGCTTCTCTATAATTTTGACATTATACATATTTTTACCGTGTGGTGATGGTGTAAGAATATCCCACTACCCCATATCATCCCGTCGGTGTCGTAAGAGGCGACATAGGGAAACAAAATCAGGAGATGGGCAGCAGCGTCTTCCTACTAACGACTAAAAATAAATAACTGCGGTTGCCAACCCGCTTGCTAAGTTGGCAAATATAGCAGACATCCCCTCTATAGGGCAATCTACGGGGGAGGCCTATGTTCAGCAGTGGAATTTAATAGGCTGTATCGAAATATATCATGTCTGTTTGTAATGTCGATATAACAGCTTTTTACTATATGCGTATGAAAGTATATACGGTAGTTATAAAAAAACACGATTTTTAAAAAAATTTTTGTCTGTCTGTCTTTCTATCTTTCTGTCTGTCTGCCTGTCTGAAAAAAATTAAAACCCAGGAAATCCAATCGTAATAAATTACGCGCGGGTGAAGTCACGGGGAACAGCTAGTAATAATATTTTATACAATTGTTATGAAAACATTCAGAAACAGCTTGGTAGCGATCACCTCATTCCCAGGGGTTATTATCAGTCAAGTGCTCTTTAGTAGTATAATAATTAATAACCCTTACTAGGCAATTTTTGCTTAATAAATAATTTAAACCTTTTCGTAGATAAGATCTGCATATTTTCTGGGACTTTATTGTAAAAGCGTATACATTGCCCCATGAAGGAATTACTCTTTGGAGTCGAGTAAGTGGTAACTAACTTGTGCTTGTTCCTAGCATTTGTGGCCTTGGGTGCTGTAAAGCACCCGAAACGTCAGGAATTAATAAAAATAAGATAAATAAGTTAATTGAACGCGAAAAAATCCGTAAAAGTAGATTTATTCAATGTATAGTGTTCGCGTAAATATAAGAAATCATTATGAAAATTATTTTTGTTTTTGTGTACATATGTACATTAAATCCTCCAAAGTTTTCTTTAAATTGCATTTATGGTTGTCTTTTGCAAAAGTCTCTATATAGGGACTCTAGTGCTTGTGTCAGGATCAACGGGGCCTACTCGGACTGGTTTGACATCCATAAAGGTGTCAGACAGGGCTGTGTGGCTTCCCCGTGGTTGTTCAACCTATTTATGGACAGTAGTTTGGAAAATTTGAAAGTGAAGAATGCGGGTTAAGAATGGGTGAGTTAACCGTCAAATGCCTTTTGTACGCCGATGATCAAGTCATACTTGCGTCGTCGGCAGCCGAGTTGCAAATGATGGTTACATTAATGAACAGGACATTAAAAGAAAAGGGAATGAAAGTGAACGCAAGTAAGACGAAAGTTATGGTTTTTGAAAGAGAAGAAAGTAAAACGATATGTGAAATAAGAATAGAAGGGGAGTTGGTAGAGCAAATAGATGAGTTTGTATATTTGGGATGTGTGTTTAGCAGGGATGGTAGATATGATAAGGATATAGAACGACGAGTGAATGCAGGAAATAGAGTGAATGGGGCTCTACACTCTATCGTGAAAAGTCAGAATGTGTCCAAAAAGGCACGTATGGCAATTCACAATGCTGTGTTAGTACCTACTTTAATGTATGGTGGTGAAAGTTGGGTGTGGCAGAAGAAGCATGAGAGTAGAATAAATGCTGTAGAAATGCGGTCATTAAGGAGTATGTTAGGGATGAAGCTGAATGACAGAGTGAGAAATTGTTTAATAAGAGAAGAGTGTGGTTTGCAAGATGATGTTGTGACCAGGATTAAGAAAGGAATGCTTCGGTGGTTTGGCCATGTAGAAAGAATGAATGAGGAAAGAGTGACAAAGCAAATTTATGTTGCAGAGGTGAACGGCATAGTTGGGAAGGGTCGCCCTAGGCGAAAGTTTATCGACCAAATTGGCGATATATTAAAAATGGGCCAAATCAAGAGTACCTTTAACCGACGAGCGTGTATGCGTAGGTATATGGATGTGGAGGAAGCGAGAGAGGTGTGTCAGGATCGTGCCAAATGGAAGTCCATAATCTCTGCCTACCCCTCTGGGTGACAGGCGTGAGTGTTTATGTATGTTATGTTTTGCAAAACAAACATAGAGTCAATGTCAGTCGCATTACCCCATAGCAAGATTCCATATGACATTATTTATTTATTTATTTAATCTTTTTTGTTAACACCTTAATAACAAAAGGCGGTAACAAAGGGCTTAGTAACAAAGGGCGGACTTAATGCCTAGCGCCATTCTCTGCCAGTTCTGCCATTATGCTATGGAAATAACTAAAATAAACTAATCTAGCTGTTTTAACACATGTAAGGGCTCTAATTTTTTTATAGCATATGCTGCAGAACCAAGTTTGTTAGCTAGGTTAGATATATGAGGGCCCCATTGAAGCTTCGCGTCAACTGTAATTCCGAGATAAACAGTGGATTCAACAAGGCTCAGCTCCTCCCCATTTAAAGAACACTGGTCAAAGTTCACCTGTTTAACATTGGGTGTAGTGAATTTAATATATTATTTTGTTTTATTTATTTTTTATACAATTAGGGTGACAAACGGGCACACAGTCCACCTGATGGTAAGTGGTTGCTGTGCCCCATAGACATTTACATCTATCTTCATTTACGAATTAAAATGCAGATGCGTTGTCAGCCGTGAATACTAAGATAGAATGTCTCTTTTCCAGTAAAACAGGTCTCCGGTTCTCTACACTCACCATACGAAACAGCAGAATTAAGCTGCTATTTTAGGCTGGTATTGTGTGAGAGCGTGATCCTTCCCCGGTCGAGCTGGCCCATTCGTGCTACAACTATACTATTATTATAGCTGCAGCATGGCTCTATCACGTTATATATAAGTAGTGGAATTAAATAAAAGACTACCCCAGAAGGGTACCAGCACACTTAGAGAATCCCTCGCTGAGCATCCACGACCAAACTACTTCACTCCTGAGCGTGGGTGCTCAGGCTGCCCCGGGTATTCTGGGGGGGGGGGGGGGGGGCAAAATTCCGCTCGCGACTAATGCTGCTCGGAGCAATACAACCAAGGCGGCCCCTGTCACGCTATCCGTGAGTTTTTGCAACATCAGGGGACTTCATTCCAACCTTAACGCTGTCCATTACCATCTAGAGACGGCGAAGCTGGCCTTGCTCTTTTTAACCGAGACTCAGGTATCCTTTCCGGCTGATACTTCATATCTCTCCTACCCGGGGTACAAATTGGAACACTCCTTTGTGCCCCGGGCTGGAGTTTGCGTATACGTCAAAGAGGACATCTGTTTTCGACGCCTCGGCAGTCTTGATGGTACGGACCTGTCCATCCTATGGCTGCGCGTAGACAGCGACGACCATCCCCGCGTCTACGGGTGCCTCTATAGGTCCCATAGCGTTAATGCCGACACAGACCGACTCATCGACCACGTCCAAATGGCTGCAGACTCCGTGCTACAACAGGTCCCATCCGCAGAGATCGTAATACTCGGTGATTTTAACGCCCACCACGCTGAATGGCTTGGTTCTCGTTTAACCGATCATGCGGGTAGATCTGTCTATGACTTTGCTTTGGCATATGGTCTAACACAAGTGGTTACTTCGCCTACGTGGATCCCAGATATGGAAGACCATGTACCTTCCCTGTTGGACCTTCTGCTGACCTCTCATCCGGACGGATATCAGGTCTCCGTCGATGCCCCTCTGGGCTCTTCGGACCATTGTCTGATCCGGAGTACGGTGCCACTCACTCTTCAATCGCAGTTGCGATCTGCAGATTGCCGCCGTGTTTGGCACTACAGGTCAGCTGATTGGGACGGGATGCGGTCTTTTTTTGCATCCTACCCTTGGGGGCGGGTTTGCTTCTCGCTGGAAGATCCCAGCGTTGTTGCCGAGTCTGTTGCTGATGTGGTACTTCAGGGTATGGAACTTTTTATTCCATCCTTTGTGGTGCTCATCGGAGGCAGATCCCAGCCATGGTTTGGTCGCTCCTGTAAAATAGCATCACGCTATAAGCAGGAATGCTACCGGGCCTGGGCTGACGCATCAACGTCTCAGGATGTAAACACCAGCGCACTTAAAAAGAAGTATAATTCCGCCTCCAGGTACTTCAAATGCGTCATTGCCAAGGCAAGGTCTGAGCACATCGGCAGAATTGGCGAGAAGCTAGTTCGCCTTTCTTCGGGAACCCGTTCATTCTGGTCTCTCGCCAAGGCTGTCCAAGGGAACTTCTGTGAGCCATCTCTGCACAGAGAGGACGACTTACTGGCCCATGCCGCAAAGGAGAATGCCAATCTTTTATGCTCTCTCTTTGCGTCCAACTCGACTCTAGATGACGGGGGGAACATACCGCCGACCATCCCGCGATGTGAGTGCTCCATGCCGGATGTGCGGTTTACACAGCGCTCGGTTCGCAAAGCACTCTTCTCCCTAGACGTCAGCAAGTGGAGTGGGCCCGATGGAGTCCCTCCCATTGTGCTGAAGACGTGTGCTCCGGAGTTGGCACCGGTTTTAACGCGTCTTTTCTGGTACTCCTACTCCCAAGGCGTAGTCCCAAATTCATGGAAGACAGCTTTGGTCCACCCGATCCCTAAAGAAGGCGACCGCTCAGACACGTCCAACTACAGGCCTATCGCCATAACTTCCATTATTTTGGAGAACAAGGAGTTCTCCAAAATAATGGAATCCATTATAAGCTGCCAGCTCATGAGGTACCTTGAGGATCACCAGCTAATTATATGATAGTGACCGCCAGTACGGTTTTCTTCGGGGTCGATCAGCTGGTGATCTTCTAGTCTATCTGACTTACAGATGGGCGGAGGCAGTGGAGTCCAAGGGGGAGGCACTGGCCGTTAGTTTGGACATAGCGAAGGCCTTCGATCGGGTCTGGCACAAAGCGCTTCTTTCGAAGCTTCCTTCCTATGGGCTTCCCGAGAAATTGTGCAAATGGATCACCCGTTTCCTTGCTGATCGGAGCATCAAGGTCGTAGTAGACGATGCATGCTCTGATTTCAAGCCTATCAAGGCTGGTGTTCCACAAGGCTGTGTGCTATCCCCAATGCTGTTTCTCCTGCATATCAATGATATGTTGCTAAGTGGTAGCATTCATTGCTATGCGGACGACAGCACTGGTGATGCCTTATATACCGGCTGTGCCAATATTCCTCGGGAAAACGTCACCGAGTACCGGGACAAACTTGTGTCTGAAGTCGAGTCTTAGCTTAACAAAGTCTAAATCGACTAAATCTAGTCCAGTTCAATCCCCAGAAGTCACAAGTTTGCGCGTTTACCGCTAAAAAGAACTCCTTTGTCGTATCTCCTCAGTTTCAAGGCACTCCCTTTGCTGCCTCAGCTAGTATCGGAATCCTTGGTGTCGACATATCGAATAGTGTGCAGTTTCATGGTCACTTGGAAGGGAAAGCCAAATTGGCCTTAAAAAAGCTTGGCGTGCTCAGCAGAGCGAGACAGTATTTCATGCCGGCACATCGCTTGCAACTTTACAACGCGCAAGTTCGGCCCCACATGGAATACTGTTCTCATCTCTGGGTCGGGGCACCCCAGTGCTAGCTCCTTCCACTTGACCGCATCCAGCGCAGAGCGGTTCGAATCGTCGACGACCGAGTTCTTTCTGATCGGCTCAATACACTAGCACTGCGTAGAGATGTTGCATCTCTTAGCGTATTTTATCGCATCTATCACGGGGAGTGCTCTGAGGAATTGTTCGGACTAATTACAGCCGCTCAATTTCACCATCGCACATCGCGACAAAACTCGCGTTACCATCCATACCATCTGGATGATTGGCGGTACACCACTGTGCGATTTAGAAGAAGTTTTCTCCCTCGCACAACTTCCTTGTGGAATCAATTACCACCAGCGAATTTTCCAGCCCGATACGACTTAGGAACCTTCAAGAAAAGAGCTTACACCTTTCTAAAAGGCCGGCAACGCATCTGCAATTCCCCTGGTGTTGCGGTTGTTCATGGGCGGCGGTAGTCACTTACCATCAGGTGAGCCGCATGCTCGTTTGCCCCCTCTTCTATAAAAAAATATAGCATTATTCATTTCGTGCTAGACCTATGCAAAAATGCGCCAGACGACACATTCCTGGAAGCATTTTCTCTTCGCTTCGCTTTCACTTATCGTAGTGGGCGGGCAGATTAGTAAGCGCGAAGACGAAATAATAATCACCACCATCTTTTTCGTCATTATCAGCCCGTAAAAGTACACTGCTGCACATGAGCTTCTCCTGTTGAATAAATAATTAGCTTTTATCGTCAAACTTAAAAGGCGATTTGAAGATTGCAATAACAATTCTATATCTATAATTTTATATTTAATATTCTTTTCACGCGAACAATTGTTTGAAATAACTGTACTCCCGTCGCGTATTCTTTTAATCTGACACGTTTTATTAATTACAAAACGTAATTCTATAAAAATTTGATACACATTTTTTAATTATATTTTCTATAAATAGTTATTAAATATTGTTCACAGAGGCTTATATAATAATCTCCCTCTAGTAAGAGAGACATAAACATCTACATTTATCTTCGATTAACTATCAAGATGCAGATGCATTGTCTGAGGACTACGTTTCCAGTAAAAAGGGTCTCCGGTTCCCTACACTCACCATATGAAACACAATAGCATTAAGCTTCTATTTTACGCTGGTATTCTGTGAGAGCGTGGTCTTTCCCCGGTCGAGCCGACCCATTCGTGCTACAACTGTAGCTGCAGCGTGGTTTCTGTCTATGTTGAGTAGGGGACTCTGGATAGGCTGTAATGAATGAATTAACTTATAACTGTCATCATTTGGGGAACACATCTTTATTGTTTAAAGGATTAATACTTGTATTTGTTTTACTGTATTAAACAACTGTGTAATTGGTATTGTACAAGTGTTATTCTTATAATTAGATAATGTAGGTAACTCACGTTGCATTGCAGCAAGTTTTTCGTCTTGAGCTTTTAATTGTAAAGCAACCATTAACTGTGCTTCTTGTTGTTGTAAATAAACAGCTGCTCCCTGCATCGTAACGTCTTCAGTGTCTTTTTGCACTTCAACAATGTCAGGTACTGTAGTTATGATTTTTTCTAAACCTCTGTCTGATTTTATTTCCTTAATCTTTTCTTTTACCGTCTGCTCATTAGTTGCAATTTCATTTTCGTTTGCCTGCGGATTATGTAACGTTTCTTCAACTTCTTTTTGATTCCGTGATTTATTATCTTTATCAGACGTCTTTGTTTTCAAACTACTTCCTCCCAACCAAGACGGCATTTCAGTACTATCCTCCTCAATATCTTGTCTCTCATCTTTATCTTGAAAAATGCCTAACCAATCTTCATTCGATTTTTTTTGTTTTTGTTTAATGGATTCATTTTGTTGTAATTTATTTACTGAATTAGTCTTTTTTGTTGACAATGTTTCCTTAGGTTCGTTTTTGCCGAGAATAGAATTCAAATTATATTCTTGATTTTTTGTTGTTGATTTGGCTGTAAGATTTAATTTTGGAGCAGGTTTTCCTAAAATATCGTCTAATATAGACTGCGATCCTTTTCCTTTATCTAAAGGTTTTACTTGTTCTTTCTTAGTTCCCACTAATTCATCCAATATATCTATTTTGTCAAAACTTGTGCCAGCTTTAGTTTTCAAAGGTGATTTTGTATCAGCTTTATCATTTAATACGCTGATAGAATCAGGAAAATCAATTTTTTTAGCTTCTTTCGTAGTTTCATATTTAAATGATGAAGAATGAGGCTTCTGACTGTCAGCTTTTACTAATATTTCGGAATCATCAGCTTTTGTGAGAGGCTTATTGACTTTATCAGGATTGAAATCATTTGGCTTAATTTTACTACTACTATTATTTAAATCAAATAAAATGTTTTTCTTTTCAACGATTGGTGTGCTTTTCTTCTTAAGTGATTTCTTTTTTCCCAATACATCATCATCGAAAAAACTATCATCACTTCCATCGCTTAAAATACCAGCTAAAGGATCGTCAAGATTAAAACTCATACCTTTAGATTAAATAAAATTACTAAAATGTTCCAGTGTTATAATAATTATCTCTTCTCTAATCTCTTCTCTTCTCTAATATAAATATATTAAAACAATGATTGAAAGTATTAACTTATTGACACCCGTTGCCATGGCAACTGAATAATACAACATCTCCGAAAAGGCGGCCCTACACCTACATGTAGCCTCAAAGAGTACAATAAGTATATACAGGAAAAGAGAGCCCTCTGACGATATTTTATTGCAGACAAAATTGAACTTCTAGCGCGTTCTACAAATTGAATCCGAACTATTTTGCTATATATATTACATACATCATAGTTAAGCTATAATATTCTTTAATTCGTATACGTATGTACTGAAACAGTTCCTACTTTTTTGTAATACTAATTTATACTTTTAATATTAAAAGTAAGTAAAGTAGTTTCCATAAGTACACTTGTATTTTACAAGTAGGGTATATAATAATATATAAAAATTATTTATTTGCAATGAAATAACAATGACTATTTAGTATGACAATATTTTTTTTTGGAGTTTATGGTCTGGTATCTAGACCTTTAGGCCAAGTCTTAAGTATTTTTATTCGGTTTATTGTAATTTTCCCACTCCTTCATAGTATACTGCTTCACAATATGTTGATGCGTCACATTGTGCAGTTCTTGGGAGATTTTGGCGGCAACTTGATCCAGCAGACAGCTGATAGTTGGCGATGGTATCTAAAGGTGCCTATGCAAACAAACAGCTTATCTTGAGAATCCATCACCATCAGAGCACTTATTTCACTGTTTCCACTAATAGTTCACATGCGTAGACACTTAATACACAAAATCGCAACACTTTTACATATCAAAGTCCACTTCAAACCATTATTTAAACAATAATACAGGAGCAGCAAACCGCCGCCGGTCAATTTCCCGCCAAAAACCCCTTATTTTTTATTATAATATTATGCTGGTTACCAGTATCATAACTATCATATTTATCTATTGATTTGATAATCATTACGTATTTTTATGTTAAAATGATAATTTGTTATTATTAAAGTCACCAATAAATTTTTGGTGCATTTATTTTTATTTTGTAAGTAAATTTCATTTTATTTTTTTTTAAAGTAGCGCCATCTGTGAAGCCATAAGACTAACTATAAACAAAACTATTTTGGAAACAAATTATGGATGGCGCCACCATCTATTGAATTTTAGTGGTCCAAGGCACAATGACAATGTTACTGCCCCTGTGTTAACAAGAGGAAGAAATGATTATCTATCTGATTTACCAGAAAAAAAAATGGTTCAGTCTATGCGTCTACGGGATAATTGTATAGAAAATGTTATCTCGAACTACATAAATGTGAGAAAATAAAATTGTACATTAATAGATCTGAACAACCTATAAATATGGGAAGAGATTATTTTTTCAGCCACGGATTTTAATAGAGATAGTGTTAAATCGGCTTTTTTTTTAATATTAATTCCTGACAATTTTAATCAAATCAAATCAAATCAAATCGTTTATTGCTTCTATAATGTACAGTACATTAGCAGTTACAGTGACCATTATAGACCCTGTCGGGCGTTGCAATATACAAGAAATATACAATAAAATAATTGAATGGACTTATAACTATGTAACATCATTATATTATATTTGGCTATTTTGAAAATAAAATTTTATTTAATACTTAGTAATTTACTGGTTAGTAATTAACTATCAAAAAATTCAGTGAGCGTGTAAAAGCATTTGGAAATAAGATAATCATGAAGTTTTTTATTGAATGAACTTAATTTAACTTCAGATTTTACATCTATGGGTAGTTTATTGAATATTTTAATTGCCATGTAATATGGACTACAATTGAGCATTTTGGTTCTAGATGGGGGTAAATATAACCTATGTTTATGCCTAGTATTTACATTGTGTGTTTCTTTTATCTGGGTGAAGAAGTGTTTATTTTTAAATACGAAGTTACTTATATCTTTTATGTAAATAGAAATTAAGGTTAATAATTTAAATTTAATGAAGTAGGGTCGACAGCTATGTCTGTTATCAATTCTGGCAAGTATCCTAACACATTTTTTTTGTAAAATGAACAATTCATGTGCATTAACACTATTACCCCAAAGGATAATGCCATATTTAAGCCATGAAAAGGCATACGCGTAATATGTGGACAGTGCAGTTTCTAAATTTGTGCTATGATTAATTTGATAAAGCGCATATGTAAATTTAGAGAGCTTGCATTTAATTTTTTCAATATGCGACTTCCAGTTTAAATGTGTATCTACATTAAGTCCAAGCAAGTTATACGAGTCTATCTCTTCTATTAGGGTATTTTGTAATTGAAAATTAATTTTTAGGGGTGGTTTATTATATGAACGAAATTGTAAAATTTTTGTCTTTTTAAGGTTTATTTCTAGATTATGGCTATCAAGCCAATGTGTGACATTATGAAGTGTATCATAGATAAGGGTTTCAGCGCTAATGTTGTCGTTACTTTTTATAAGTATTGATAAGTCATCTGCAAATAATACTGGCAGTGTTGATTCACTATACAAACATTTTGGTAAAAAAAATGTTTGTATAGAGAATTTGAAATTTATCGGGTTTGTTGAATTGCTCGATCAAAAATTTTGCTAATATTTTGATGTCGAAAGAAAAATTGTAAATATTGGTAGTGAAATATTAAAACGTATGCAATATTTTATATTTGTTATGAAATGCGAGTGCTTTCCAATAGATTATTTAAAAACAATATTAGCCATAAATTAAATGCCACAACCAATTGTTAAAGAACAATAATTATAAAAGTATAACATTTAGAATATGTAGTTTATAAAAAAATATTATATCTTAAGTATCTATTAAAATTCTGACAAACGTTTTGTTTATTTAATATTACCCCCTGTGCCAACCCTACCAAAATAAGAAAAAATTTTGACACCTCCTTAGTAGCTTTGCCTCCGTACAGTTTCTTTTATTATTTTCATTCCGGTATATATTACTCTACTCTATGGTTTCTTTACTCATGTGATTACATAGCCCAATGAGTTTTAGGATTTCGTCCCGCAGCTAGTATTTGTTACTTGTAGGTGCCCTCTATCGACATACCAACATACTACAAAAAAGGAAGTGATAGGTAATAAGGCATGAATACAGATTTGTCGCAGTGTTCATCGTTTCTGCCTATTTTATTAGCTCTCTGAGAGATCTAATACATTTTGTTACGAGTCTTGTAAGAGTTCATTCCATTTATTCCTATTTATTTTCTAAATTATTTTATATTTATTTAATAATTATTTCTAAATAATACAGCTTGCTTCTTACTGTAAGACCTTAGTAATGATTATAGTTAGGATTGCCTAGTTTTATTCAGTTATCTAAACGAGTACGGGTGCTACAAGATCTGAAGATGACCAGGTAAGTGCTTATAGGTTCTCAGTAACGGAAATAATTATGATGACCTAGCTTTCACTTTTTACCTAATTGAGCACGGGGGTTACTAGATGATACGTTCTGAAGGCCTGATGATGACCAAGTAAGTGCTTATCGGTTCTCAATAACGGTAATAGTTAGGATTACCTAGCTTTCAATAATAAAAAGCCTAACTTTCTAAATTAGTCAATATAAACAAGCGTCCAAGTACGGAAAACAAAACTTTATTAAATACATAATAAGTAGGTACCTTATAATAAAACAAATTTTACAAATCACGCACACTGTCATTGTTACTAAAAATACTTCCTATTATATTATTAACATGAAACATAACCGAACTAAACAATATACACTGTTTTTCTCGTTTAAAACTTTAAAATACTCTTAAGTCCGAATCACACATATCAGTGATGTCGCAGTTAGCCTATATAGTATATTATTTATGGTCGCAGTTCCGGCACAGTACAGTGATCATTATTCTTTCATACATTCTCTTTGAACCCGCCCACACCTGTCAGTGTCAGTGACAGTGCCGACGCCGGAAATCACGCCAGGCTATCGGCGACGACGAATTTTTCTTACCGGATAACGGACGAAGCTCTATCAAAAACAAGCCATCTCTTGGAATTATAACATTCCTCCAACGAGATCTTCCGTTACTAATTTTCTTCATAGTTTCTGCAGAAGTATATTGAAACAGATAACTGACATTTTAATTATTCAAAATATTTCCTTTCGTCTTTAATTAATTCTTTATATATCAATTCTCCTTCTGTTTCTCTTAATTGCATAGTTTCATGCAACAATTTCTAAAGCAATGGCTGTCGTTGCTAGTACCGTATTATTAAACAGGGCCATATAGTACCGTGTAGTGGTAGTTTCATTTGTTCGTATTTCCTTTTATTTTTTTACCCTCATTCTCAAGAATACGGTATCCTTTAATGTAATGTTGACCCGTTACGGTTTTTTGAACGATGTTGTCTGAAGAGCTCGTATCTCTATAAATTATGTTCCCTTGGTTTCAGAGCTTTGTAGAATATTTAGAGACGATAGCAGTAGATCAGACGGATGCTAGGGAGAGAGATAAAGCTTTAGCGTGGGATACTACTTGTGAAGACACTTTGGCAGCCTCTCATCTCAGGGAGTACCTTGCTTAAAGTAGGTTCAGCATCAGAGACAACTGAACTGAGTAAGTAACACAATGATGGTGACCATGACAGATGAGAGATGACTATCGATCTCTGCACAAGTACATTCGTTTCCCAGGAAGGTGGAGGTAGGTGGTAGGATTAGAGAGAAGTATTAGTAGTGTTAACAGCTCTGCCAGTGTTTGAAAAAGAAAATAGAGTCGGTTCGTTTAGATACGGTCGCCTTTGTATCGCGCTACCTTGGCACGTCCCGCATTTCGTCAAAGGCGCCACCTCGACATCAAAGATCGTTGCGTGCGGCGTACAACCGAAGGAAAATTTATTTTTATTATTGTATGCATTTGAACTTGTTTTTATTATTTATATTAGTATTTTATTACAATAACCATAATACAATAGAAAATTTTTTCGTAACAAACAGTAAAAAATAATAAAATAAATGCAAAATAATAAGTGCGTCTCAGGGTGTACCGTTACTAACTTAGCGAACAGACTTTAACCTATTACGTATAATAGTAAATTATTTTTTCTTAAAATTTTAGTTTTCCCATAAACTGTACATAATTTTATTTAGCATTATTTGTTATTCTGAACGCATATGTTAACGTCTGCTGTGACAATGACAATGACAATTAACTCAAGTGACAATTGATTGAAGAAAATTTGTTGCTTCACGTCAGCTATATTGTCGGCTGTATTTTTAATTATTTTTTCAAAACAACGGATTTTTTGATCACTGTTGTATTATTTAATAAACCATACTTTTTAATTGTATTTAAATATGGATTTTATCGGTAAGTTTATCACGATATTTACTATTAATTTACATTGCCGCACTTTTTGACATCTTTGTGGTTCAGTATACTGAGGTCTTTTGTTCTAGAATTTTGCTAACTCACGATTCATTTTTAGCTTCAGGGAAAGGTGACACGACAGAAAATTGTGATCCAAATTCATTATCAAATGGTACTTCTAAGTCTGCCGTAGACAAACAAAATACTGATAGTGAAAAAACACTCGTGGAAGCTCCCGCAGAGAGTGCGGCATGTACGTCGGAGTCTGCCGAAGACTCCCTTGTCTGCGAAATTCCGGAACAAGTCGAATTTACGGTAGTTTTTAACAAAGTCAAACACGACATAACATTCGCTTACGATGCAACTGTATCGGAATTAAAAGCTCATCTTGAAAGAATATGTGGAGTACCACAATCCGCGCAGAAACTAATAATTAAAGGCATGGCTCGCGACAATATGACTCTAAGGAAAGCTGGTGTAGTTAAAGGTGGTAAAGTCATGCTCGTTGGCTCTAAAATGGATGATATATTAGCTGTTAAAAGTGCACCAAAGGTATGTACACTAACAAATTTGGTAACTGAATTCTTACAAGATATAGTAAATTTATAAAAGTGATCAAATTGCTATGCATAATATTTACATTATATTATAACATAACAGTATTCTATTTTTAAACGGTATATTTTTTATAGTAAGACTTTAACTTTCTCATTTTCAGGAACTAACAGAGGAAAAATCAAGTAGTCAGACAAATAAGGAACCACTTTGCATGCAAAAAAATCACAGAAAAGTCCTCGATAAAGGTATTCCACCAGATGTCATGCCTGGAATAAAAGGAGTTAAGGTATTAGAAGTACCATTATAAATAAACGTCATGTATGTAATTAAACACACAATGTCTTAGCAATAAAAATGATGTGAAATTATTTTTTTGTAGGAACCTTTGCCCCCAATCCCTCTTAGTGGAATGTTAAATAAGCATGGTGGTAAAGTAAGATTAACATTTAAGCCAGAGCAAGATCAACTCTGGGTTGGCACAAAAGAACGCACTGAGAAACTTGCCATGACATCTATTAAAAGTAAATATTAAACCATTTTTACTCAATGATCCTAAATTTGACAGAGATTAAGTCATATTATCTTTACTCTGATATGTTCATATATTGAATTTAACATTTTGAATATGTTTTTGTAGGTATAACTTCAGAACCAATCAAAGATCATGAAGAGTATCACATTATGGTGAGTTACATTTGTGTAATATATTTTCTTTGTTTTTTTTTTTGAACCAGAGTAATTGACATAGTCCAAGGAAGCAGTAAATTTAAGGGGCGATTGGCCAGCCATATAGCTTGAAGAACCAACGACCAATAGGAAAGAAAGATTCACTTCATACTGGTAAGAGAGGTATAGAGGCCCCTAAGTAGATAGAGTTACAATCGGAACACATGCAAGTAGTTGGGGGCCTATGTTCAGCATGGCACTTGTGAAGGGCTATTATGATTATGATGTTTATAAAAAGTAATTTTTTCTTGTTTCAGGGCCTTCAATTAGGAACCACAGAGGCTTCAAGGTATTGGGTCTACTGGGTGCCAGCTCAGTATGTGGAAGCCATAAAAGATGCAGTACTTGGTGTTTGGCAGTTCTTTTAACTGAATAAATTGCCCAATTTACTGCCCATATATAGTCATTTCTTTTTATGAGCTACTTGGGTAGATGCAATATTATATACTTTTTTAAACTAAATGGATCCCTAGTACTCCGCCATATGTCGTCTTAATTGACTTAACATCAAAATTTTAACATTTGGACGAAATTTGATTTTCGTTTTTTTTAAATAAAAAATATTTTACTAGGGCTGCCATTTTCATTTTTGCAGGTATATAGGCAACACTCACATCAACATAATATTCGTTATTTATATGAGTATTGTTTATATACTATGTTGTATTCTTTTGTGATAAACATGCCATGTCAATTAAAGTTGTCCATTTAAATACTGGCATCTTTGTATCTGGTCAAATCAGAAATTATTTATTACAGTTTTAAATTTGCATTTTATGCATATTGGGTTTTATGCTGTATGATATTGCTAATAACAATAATTCTTATTGGAAACATCAATGCTAATCACTGATATAGTGAACATTTGTAACAACTGAGCTTTATTGCCTCCTTGAGTTTTAAACCTGATCTCTATGTGAACTTTTACAATATTTGGTAATTTATTTGTAGGATTAGCTGGAGTGTTAACAAAAACTGTAAAGTTTTCTTCATAAATATCAGAAGTAGCTGAATTTAAAATATATAATATAAATGGTTTATAACTGGCAGATTCCAGCTAATTCTTCATTCATTTTGATCATAGAAATAGAGGAAAAATGTTTTGAACTAACTTTTCTTTTTCATTTTACCTATCCCAGATTAAATAAAATAATTCACAAGATATAAAAACCACTTTATTGAATACAATAGAAATGTAAAATCATATATTCTTAAATCTAATAATATAGTAGTTATACTACATAAAATGGCACTCTATATTTAAGATTGCATAATCTTCAATAAGTTAATGTTAGCATAAAAGTTGTAAAAAATATTTGGCATGTCGATATGTATAAATAATTAGTTTTTGTACTCTTATACTTATATTTAAAAATCAGCTTAACCATATTCAGATTGTACTGTTATAGAAAACTGCCCCTTGGGAATACTTGTTGCGTGGTACCAGAGCCTTGTGTCCAGCAATACTGAAATGATATAAAAATATTCTAATTAACAATAAACTAAATATAAATTACTATAAATCAACTTTCATAATAAAAATCCTAATTAAGGTTCAAAATAAAATAATAAGAAAAATCATCTATTGGCAACTTTTCAATGTAAATTAAAGGAGGAATTGCAAAAAAAGTTTTGAGATTATTGTGTGGGGTTTAGATTCAGTATTTTATGATGATTTTTTTTTACATTTTTCTGAATAGTAGCTTAAAAATTGGTGTCAACTGTCTCACTGTATCAGTAGCGTTAGTAGCTTCATGGCAGGGTGCGGCCGCAAACTCGAAAGGTTGTGGGTTCGAATCCGCCATTCGACTACTGTCGTGAACCACTTCTAACACGAGCATTTTAAGCTTACTAGAAGTGATTAAATAGAATATTAGTAATATTTAATAGCATTACTAGTATTTTTTTTAAAAAGGAACTCACCAACATCACCAGGCTCTACATAATATTGAAACTTGTGACAGACATGTTCACATTCTGGAACTGGGGCAATTGACCAATTTTTACTTCCTTTTACTTGCCCTTGCCACATGAGACGAGGAATATAGTCCAACTGAAGAAAAAAAAATTGTTTTTTACCTATTTAAAAAGTATTTAATTTATACTTTTATATTTAACTTATATTATGCCTTTTTAATCAAATCAGTCAATCAATATACTATTTTTTGTGCACCAATTCATATTAAAATAAAAAGAAAATATAATATATAAAGAATATATTATATTTACTAAGTGGTTTTCCTTTTCTGCCCATCTGGGTAGTATACCATTTTTGCCGCCAAATAGCAGTGCTTGCACAGCTGTGTTCCAGTCTGAAGGCTATAGACATTGAACAACTGCAACTGGTGTTGCAGTTGTTCATGGGTGGCGGTAGTCACTTACTATCAGGTGAGTCGCATGCTCATTTGCCCCCTCTCCTATAAAAAAAATTAAAATTGCAGACATTCAGGCATTCCATCTTAGTTCTGTCCACCTCCATATATAAATTATACAAGTAATAATTTAAAATTAAAAATTTTGTACTTTGTATTGACTTCAATATAAATTATTAAGAATAACTCAAAAAAAACTATTGGTCAGACCTTGATCAAATTTATATGGGACCACATGAGAAGCACCAGCTTTCAAATAAAAAAAAAGAATCATTGATATCGGTTCACCTAGAAAAAAGTTATGAGGTAACACACATAAAAAAAACAGAATTTAATTGAGTACAGTCTCCTTTTTGAAGTCGGTAGAAAAATTAAAATAAAATAAACAAGATGATAACAGTTGTGAATAAGTACGATAGATACAATAAAGGGCAGGAAATATGACAGGAAATATTAGAGGCCCTGCAAATAAGCCTCGAATAGATTTTTAAGGTCAAGATTTTTTTTAAAGGGGCAAGGGCTTATATTCATTAAATGTTAAGTTTAAGGATATAAAACAGCCATATAGTGTTGGGATATGAGAATCCATCACCCCATTTTATCCGTTATGGCCACAAGAATCTTATGGCTTCTGATAGACGGCCATACAGCCATCTCTTTACACCAGGTTTCAAATGACTAAGACTGATGATAGGGAGCCGCACAAGGTTTAAGTCAAATCTCATTCCACCTACCAAGCGTAACAATTAAGGCAAAGCCTACCTACAACATGGCCCATATTCAGTTGTGGACTTTAAACAACTAATGAAGAAGTAACAACTAATTAGAGAATAATAATTACATGCATTACAGCTCCTATCTCATATCCAAAGAATATATTTTCAGTTTCTGGAAACTCTGCATCTTCTGGTAAAAATTCTGGAATTTTATAATACTGCCTCACTTTCGCAAGTATATCAGCGTGACAATTGGCCCTGAAAATTAATCTATACAAATAAATAAAATTGAAGTGTCTGTTTGTAATGTCAAAATTACAGTTTTTTACTAAATGCATATGAAAGTAAATACGGTACCTATAACAAAAATACAATTTTTAAAATTTTTGTCTGTCTGTTTGTTCCGGGTAATCTCCGAAACGGCTGGACCGATTCTGACGGGACTTTCACTGGCAGATAGCTGATTTCATAAGGAGTAACTTAGGCTACTTTTATTTTAGAAAAACAATTAGGGTTCCGCGCAAAAACATAAAAACCCTAACACGCGAACGAAGTCGCGGGGAACAGCTAGTATAGTAATAAATTGTAGAATCAGTTGCTTCTAATGTGGCTCTGATGATAAATAAATATTTATGATATTATAACATAGCTGTGTCTTAAAAGTTTAAGAGAATGCTCCTGTTTTTCCCAAGGCTGTTCATATAACATCTTAAGTTTCTTCTAAAGAGATCTGACCTTCAATTAATAATTGTATATGGTTATATTGTGCAATGAAAATTACATTTTACAATTTATAATCACATTTTATATTTTTATTTTATCTCATTTTATTAAAAAGTTATAAAATCAAAATAGTCATGGTGTAAAATTTACAAATTTGTAGAATTCAGGATATAATGTTACACATTTCTGTTCAGGTTTCAAGTTGACAGGCATAAATTTACATTTTTGTAAAAGAAAAAACTGGTTTATTAAACACAGAACTTTAGTTAAAGTTTAAATTATTGTTGAACTGTATGACAATTCTGATATGTGCTCAATGATTATTCATTACTATTAAAATATTGTAATAAATCGTCATTGAAAAAGGCAGGCAGTTTTTATACAATTTTGAACATTAGTTTTTGTAGCTTTATTAACACATTCAGTACCACCGACTCGCCCGGAGAGTTCACGTAAATCTTATTCCAGTGCCGACGACTCGTCTGGCGAGTTCAGTGTTTTTCACTAATATTTCCAAAATGCATCCGTATTTTCTGCTTAAAATTATAGTTTAGACTAAATATATGCTAAACTAAAGATTTACATGGTGGGCCGGGTGTGGAGACTCCGTTTAAATTTGAAAGGAAACAAACTATTCTGCAATGCCTTGAACTCGCTAGGCGAGTTCCCTGACATAGATCCTCAACCATTTACATGTTAGATAACGACGTCAACATAGTAGCATGGACTACCTACATACTTGTGATATGGAACTAATATTCACAATAAAAATAATACATACCATATTCTTAAAACTGAAAGCCCGTATTATAATAATAATCGTTTATTTCCAATCAAAAGTAGATAAAGAATGTGTGTGGGCGTGCGTGCGTGTTGTTGTTGTTGTTGTTCTCGAATAAGTTCCTTAAACATTCTATTAACATCAATTTTAAATGTATCGAATTCATCCTCACGCTTCCTTTTGGTACGGTAAGCTGTTCGGCTGGCCATCGGAATCGGAATAAATATTTGGGTCTGAATGGCAGTGTTTGCGATGTAAAGTTGATGGCCGCCGTCGAGACGTAGGTGTCGGTCGCGCTAGTAGCAACAATGTTCTGCGGCTGCGAAGTAGACTGCGGTGGCGAGCGAGAAATCATAAAGCGACGTTAAAACAATGTACCAGAGCAATATAAACAATCAGGTATTACGTATTTATTGCAAGCTCCAATGTTTCGTTACTATTTGCTTAGAGGTCAAGCAACTGGTCGTTGATTGACGCTTCTTATACAAAAGGTCTTTTCGTCTTATATCACTTGATCTCTCGTCCTGTGCATACAATATTCATTTATGTTATCCCTGTTTTATTCAATGACGCAATGATTAAGCGTTTTTTTCTCGTTTGAACTATTTATTAATATGCAAAAAAAATTATAACACTTCAATAATAAGGCTTTTACTCACACAGCTGCATGGGAATTTAGTAGGACTAGTGTTGAGAGTTAGTGAACACTTCTTCACTTTTATGCACTCCTAATTATTTATTTGATTTTGTCGGAATTTAACATAAGTTAACTGTATTTAACTAACTAAACCACACACGTCTGGTCTCTTCGAGAGTCCGAGGGGAAGGATATATATTAAATTATTTCATGGTAAAATTGTCTATTCACAAGTATTAGAAATTCAAAATATAACCTTAACAATAACCACAATTTAAAAGATTGACAACCACTGCTTAAATTACGAAACAAACTACCTTTTATTTTATCCAAAGAGTTTTTTGCCATTTTTACAAGCCGAATAGTCCTGAAACACTTTTTAATTGCGTTAAACACGTTAAGTACACTGTGACGGCCACAAAAATTACAAAACATAGAATTTACCCTTACTTAGTGCCAGTGAACTCGCGTGGCGAGTCGATTCAATTTATATTGCAGTGCCGGCGACTCGCCTGGCGAGTCAACCGTAAAATGTAGACGGCATCCGAGAAGACATCATGAAAATCGTAGTGGTGATGAATGTGTTAAATGGTATTTACTTTACAAATATTAAGCAGTGTTTCTTTTACAATTTTATAGATTTATTGAACTGTTTTTACTGTATGATTCAACATATGTCACTTTATAACAAATCTGTTGGATTATCATATTTATAAGATAGGTAGCTAATTATGTCAGATGAAAAATATACAAACATGCATACAGCATCAGGGGTCTTCTGCCAAGTGAGGTGATTACAGTAGTAAGTAGTTACAGAATTTAAAATGCATATTTATATTGCACAACATAATAAAATATCACAGGCTAATGAAAATAAAGAATATTTGTATTACTCACCATCCAACATACCAAGGTTTTTGCCCTGGTTCATTCCTTACTCTCTTGTCAGGCATATTAAATACTTCTTTTAAAGAAAAAAGATCAGATTTAAAATTGAGAAATTGACAACCTTCATCAAAACTTTCATAACTTCTTATTGTCTGCTCATAATATCTTTTGAACATATGAAAACTAAATTCTTTAGTTGCTCTCCAATGGCTGGTAACATTTTTTACTATAATAGGTTTTGATGAGTAAGCATATTTCTGAAAAATCAAATTATAAGTTAAAAATTAATGCACGTGAAAACCTGTCACTGTTTAAAAAGCGGATAATTATTTTACCGTAAAATCATTCCGAGTAATGTTTCGTAATATAATAGGTTTCGTAACGTTCGCACAATAGTCACAATCAGCTAGAGGCCGCGTTGCTTCCCACACTAAATAATTAATAGGTACTATACAACTTGTGTTTAAGACGTCATAAATTACACCACTTGTAAAAACGAACAAAATTGAAATTACTATTACGAAAACTATTAACTTTATGCTAGGATTCTTAACTGTTGCTTCTTCAGAATTACAAATATAATTATATTGCTTAAGTGTTTTTTTCCGGAGTCCATTTTGAATTGCAATTACTTGTAGATTTCTTACACTGGTTTTGATGTATTTAACGTCAAGGTAAGATTTTTGCATCATGTCATCTTAAGAGTTTGTAAATAAAAAACTTTTATTTTTGTTTATTTACAAAAACCTCGTAAACGCTATGTTTGGCATTTGATTAGTTGTTGTTACGATTCGCCAATTAAGGTAGACAAAGATCTTAGACCATACAGCCTAGTTTGATTTGTTTTTGTTAACAGAACTTCGCAATATGTTGATGCATCACATTATGAAGTCCGTAAGAGATTAACGACAGCTCAACATAGCAGACAATTGATGACTATAGTATCTTAAGGACACTAAGCGGGTACAAACCTTGAAATTTATATCATTATTGAAACACATTAATCGAAATCAGATGCCGGCAAATTAATCAACTCCTTCCATAACATTAAAGTTCATTAATTCATTACAGCTTATCAAAATGCACTGTTAAAAATAGTGACCTTCAAGAATAGAGCCTCTTCTTTTTTTTTTTAAAGGGTGGTAATGCATATACCTAATATTGGTTAAAAGTTAAAGTTACAGTCTATATGCCTCCAACTGCTGGGCACAGGCCTTCTCTCGTTTGTAAGAGGGTATTAAGGCAAGGAAATATTCGCCGCGCTGGCCCTATGCGTGTTGGCGACCTTCACATGTCTTCGAGTTTTTTTTTTCTTATTTCTCAGACTTGCAGGTTTCCTCACGATGTTTTCCTTTACCGCCGAGCACGTGGTAAATCAGCACTTAAAATTGAAATAAACATTTTTATTGGTGCCGGCGGGGATCGAAGCAAAGCAAAGCGTACAGTGAAATTTACAGCGAGTGCTTTTTTTGTTTTTATGTGTTACTCTGAATACATATCCATTATCCACTTAAATAAAAAAGGCTAATTCAAGAACTAGTTATCCATGGACAAGAAAAAACATAATATATTCTTCCAAAATTGTACGTATATACATATGAGATAATTTTAAAATAAATGAAAACATAACAATATAAGATTTATAGTAACTTGAAACAATAGTAACTTGAAATACATTTTGTATTTCAAGTTACTATTGTTATTTGCTTCTAGCACCAATCTTACAAAAATATATAGACCAAATGTTATTTACCCCTTTCTTAAGTGAACGATTTCGCTTTTGTTTGTGTACACTTTTTCTCTAGGCAGTTTGGACGTACTTTACACCCCAGACTTATGCCTCCTTTATACGTCAACTGATTCGTCAGCGGACGACGACAGATTTTAAACCGGCTCGGCCTGTGCTCAAACTTAGGGTGATGTAATGGTTCCGTCACACTATACTCCTCGCGCTGCGCATCGCTCTTTTAATCGCGCTGCCGCGATGTTGCCCTTTCTGCCCACATTTTCTGATGTTTCACTCGCGAAATTAATCGCGACGCTCCACACCGGGCTGTTTGTGCTTGCAAAACACAATGGGTGTTGAAACTGTAGCAGCGTGCGTGCTATATGCATATTTATTATTGTAGTTAATTATATCAATAGCATAAAAATAAATTTACGTCGTCTTCCTCGCCAATGGAGATGGTGAATGACATCTATTCATCGCAATAGAACGATGCTTCCGTAACGAGCGCTCGACTGGGAATGCTTTCGCGCGATTATGTGGCCGGCCACTTTCCTTCTTAAGTCTGCAATAAGAGCTAATAAACGTATTGTTTATTATCCTTCTGTGCCAACTCTACTAAAATAGGTAAACATTTTCATAACTCCTTAGAAGCCATTAGAAGCTTTGCCTTTGCTTCTGTACGGTTTCTTTACTCATGCATGCATGATGCATATGCCTTGGGTACGTCGGCGGCCCGTGTTGCTTTATGGCTCTGCGGTCTGTGTGAAAATAATTAGTTAGTAAAAATAAAATGAACCGTATTTATTACAGACTATTAATTTGTCATGCTGTTTATAATTTTGTTGGTACGTATTGTTCATTAAGATTTGATTTTGTAAAATTTCAGGGACACAGTGGTATAAAATAAGTTGTCTCTACTGGCAGCCCTTGTAGTTTGACCTGGTTTGACCTGACGCTGTCATGTCAACGAACTGATGAACTTGGCGGTTTTAGGATTAATTCGATTAAAATAAAAAAATGCCTCCTAAAAAGCGTGACAAAGATAGTGAAACAAATAAAAACTCTAAAATAGACCACTTACAAGCTGATCATGAATTGTTTTTACAAGCTTTTGAAAGTAAGTATTACCAGGACGGATTGATTCGGAGTTCATATAGGGTTATTAGTGTTTTATCACAAAATTATATAAATGAATGTATTTTTTTCAGAACCAACTCAAATATATAGATTTTTACGGACGCGTAATATGTTATCGGTACGTTAAACTAATTTTACAGTGTATTTCATATAGTTACTGACATTCATTATACAGCTGCCTTTCATTTTTCAGCCGATATTTCTAAATAGAACATTATCATATATGAAACGAAGGATGTCTAGAAGCAATAAAAGTCGAATCGGTTTCAAAGTAGACTCTTTGTTAGAAAAAATTACACTTAAAAAAAGTACGGAAATACAGCCTAACAGTTTAGGCGGCTATATGACGCTTACATTTTTAGGGTTTTATGACAAAAGCTTGGATGACCCCAGGGATTATCATGTTAAAGTTGAGACATTATTATTAAAAATTTGTCACAAGAAAAGGAAAGAAAGTTCATCTGCAATATTTGAAGTATCTGTAAGTATCTGTCAGTTGAAAAAAAATATTTTTATACAAAATTGTAATAAGAGTGGGCTTGATGTGGAGATTGTGTGGATTCCTAGTCATTGTGGTATAGAAGGAAATGAACAGGCTGACTCTTGGGCCAAAGGAGCTGTTGATACTGGCTGTCCTTCTCATTTAATGATTTACTCTCATGATCTAATGTCATTAGCTCAAATTGGAACTCTTGGAACAGAGAATGGAGCACATCCAGACATATTAAAGGTTGTCACTTTGGTAAAATTCAACCCCAAATCCCTCCAAAACCTTGGTTCTTTAAATTTAGCTTTTTGAACAAACAAATCACATCTACAATCTGCCGTTTAAGGCTTGGGCATGCCTGCACTCCTGTATTTCTAGCTAAAATTAGAATCAAAGATCATTCCCTCTGTGAATGTGGACTGGATGAAGGTACCCCAGACCACATTTTCTTTAATTGCCAAAATCACCCAATTTCTTTATATGACATTCTTCCCAACACAATCCCTCGACCAATGAATATCAATTCCCTCTTAACTATCCCCAATTCCATATATGTCAATATGATCTCAAAATATATTCAAATGTATAATATTAAACTCTAATTATCGTGTACTAAATTTAGCTTAAACTAATTCTCTATTCCCTGCCCAGGCTAATTCTCTCCTATAACTAGATGTTTGCTCTATATTGTGTGGTCCATAATTTATGTATTTAGTTGCTTTGTTTTTATCCATATTTTCACCTAATAACCGCTAACTCCTTTTCCACCGAAAAGCCTAAAGACAAGGTGCGACAGACCAAGGACCGGACATTGGCAGAATTATTGTGACATAATCACAATACCAAGGGCCAAATAGACCAAATAATAATAATAATAATAACAATTAATGTGCCTGGGTTGTAACGGGATCTTATGATTTTTCCAAAAAGCTGGTAAATTTTATTGGTATATTTATTACGAAATGTAAAAGGTATAATACAAGTTTTTGAGTCATTTCATCTTAGTCCTCAGAGGTAACAACATACCTATAGTCCCTTTTGTTTGAAGTTGGTTGCAGGTGTCAATGAGCTGCAGTAGCTACTTACTATCAGGTGGAATATTAGTTTGTTTGTTAACACATTTTTATAAAAAAATATGCCTCAACAGAATTATTGTAACAACACACATAATTTTTTTTTTTATAGAATAGGGTGACAAACGAGCACACAGTCCACCTGATGGTAAGTGGTTGCTGTGACCCATAGACATCTACATTTATCCTCAATAAAGAATCAAAATGCAGATGCATCGTCACCCGTGAGGACTAAGTTGGAATGCCTCTTTTCCAGTAAAATGGATCTCATTAAGCAGCTATTTTATGCTGGTATTCTGTGAGAGTGTGGTCTTTCCCCGGTCGAGCTGACCCATTTGTGCTACAACTATACTTATTAATATAGCTGCAGCATGGCTCTACCACGTAAAATAAATATCAAAGAATTATAAGGAGTATAATAAAAACCTTCTCAGAATCAAAAGGGACATACTAATATTATACAGAATATAAGTAGAACATTTAAACCATGAATATAAAATAGTTACAATTTCAAATTCACTTATTTATTTAGTATCGGTACAACTAAGCTTTGCTTAGCAATAGAAAAAAAATGATTTCAAAAATGAAATCTATTCAGATTAATTAGTAGAAATAACATCAAAAGGTGTCACTTTCACTCATGCATTCCTAGAAGCATAGAATCATCTACTTATCTATTAGTTTTTTTGTCTTTTTTTTATAACTTTACTCCCACACTAGGATTTTCTCCTGTATCATGGAGGCAGTTTACAGACATAAATTGCACAAGGACAAACATCCAAACCCAGAAACAATTATTTGTAGGCCATACAAGTACTTGTTTCGTGTGGAATTCGAACCTGCGGCACCCAGCGCTGAAACTTATTGATAAGCCACTGTGCCACGGATAGTGTATTGTTTAGACATATGTTTCTGTGTATTTTATAAACAATTGTATAATATTAAATACTATTACGTTATGGACACAACAATCTAGATAATTTAGACAAAGATTTATTCCAGTACTCAAAAACACATCTTAGGGGGCTTCACCTCAAATTATCTAAAACTGTGTCACATAATAAACCACACAAACACTTTTTTAGCCAAAGACTGGTTGAAGCATGGAACAAGCTGCCATCAGAAGTGATATCTACACAAACTATTAACCAATTCAAGAACAGATTTGATAAATAAATAAAATAGTGAAATACTTACTATATATTTGAAACTAGGATACAGGCTTATATCAGTTGTTTCAACTGCTGGCCTGTTAAATAATAATAATAATATATATTAGGTTAGTAGTTAGGTAGGTAAGTAATACCAAAGTGTATAAAAATGGTGGCCAGAGAGGTAGTGAAGTCATCAAAAAACAGGAGGTAGATAATAACAATAAGGAGCACATTCACATAAACTCAGAATCAACGGAATGATGCTTCAACGCAGCTCCGGCAGCTAAAATTGCATGGAGGCGCTTGAGACAAGTCCCCTTTACCCCCCCCCCCCCACACAGTGACAGACTCCTCAAATTCAGGTGACTTGATTCTAAAACCAAATCAACCGTTTATGAAATTTAAAATATAGTATTGGTGTAAGCAAATTGTGTAACATGTTGCTAAATAAACTTATTTTCTTTCTTATTTTCGAAAGCCTTTTGAATATTAATCCAAAGTCTTTATTACACTCTAGGTACTTATGACTTTTCACCTTTATAAGTAATGTTACAATGGGCAGACTTATGCCTATTTTTTTTTTCTTTATTTCTCTGCCAGTCAACTTGTGGTAGGGGGAAGAAGAGAAGATGTATATGAAGTAATTTTTAGATTTTTTATCTTATATCTACATATAAAATTAATATATGAATGCAGACCTATTGTACCTATTTTCTTATTAAGCTATATGCATAAAAGCATTTTTTCTCCTTTTGCAGGTTGGTAGTTGTTCAGTACCACTTAACCCTTCAACATCAGAACCTCCTGCCATGGCATCAGCTGTTAGTATCTCCAGTGATACCTTTAGTCCTTCTCAAGGACCTAATGTAAAATCATACATGCTTATGCTAAGAGTTACTGTAACAAAGGCAACAGGCAGCAGTAGTACAAATGGGGCTACAAGCTCCACGGAAATAACAAATGGTGACAGTGATGGTATGCAGTATTTTCATTAATCATTTAGTATTTGTTAATATTTAAAATACATTTTTTATACACATTTATTATTAATCTTCATACGAGGGTGACACTGAATTCTTAGAAAATCCAAAACTGAACAAACTAGCAAGTTATTAGTTTTATTATATCTTTTCAAAATAGTGTCCATTTACATTGTGGCGGCGCTGTCGTCGTGCCACAAGCGAAACACATCGAAGCCTAAATCGCGCTATCAAAGTTCCGAAATTAAAGCAGCATATATAGAATAGCTCCGAACTGCCAATCGGAGCGCTGGCCGCTCCCCGGGCAGAACACCTTGCCCGGCGGGAGATCTCCCCTTTTCCTTCCACCCGCCACAGTGGTGACCCCGACGTGATATGAACACGCAACCAACAATCTTCGGAAACTACAATTTCAAAAACTTCGTCATCTTACTCAAGTACCCCATTCATTCGCTCCCGAGCAGACATTGTCTGCAGTCTTCACATTCTGCAAGCCATCTAGCTTTATAAAAAGGTTCATCGCAGCACTGGAATAATAATGCTTCCTGTTCCTTCAAGCTACTCTCTGCGCTACAGTGTTCGGCACGGCTCTGAGCCTTACTGCTCGCCTCTGCTTCACGGCACTCTCGCAGATTACTTGCCTTCTTCTCGACTCACCGCAGACTACAAGGCAATCCCTGGCACTTGCTCCGGCTCATCGTTCTCACAGGCATCACTTGCAAGTGCGTAGTACGGCATGCATTACACACCGGCATATCATTCGCACCGGCGTCACTTGCCCTTACGCACACAGCATGCATCCCAACCCAACCCACCGGCATTAAGGACGCACCAGCAATCGGACTGCACTATCGACCTCCGGTCTGAGCAGGGGGGTGATGTGGCGGCGCTGTCGTCGCGCCACAAGCGAAACACATCGAAGCCTAAATCGCGCTATCAAAGTTCCGAAATTAAAGCAGCATATATAGAATAGCTCCGAACTGCCAATCGGAGCGCTGGCCGCTCCCCGGGCAGAACACCTTGCCTGGCGGGAGATCTCCCATTTTCCTTCCACCCGCTACAACATCATCAACACATTGCTGCATCTGACAGAACCACTGAGAAATGCACTTGTCCTTAGGGGTCTCTTCAACGGCATTTTGAAACGTAGCCCCTGCTTCCTCGGCGTCCATAAAACGTTTTCCTCAAAGTTTTCTTTTATTTTCGAAAATAAATAAAAATCGCAAGGTGCGAGGTTGGGGCTACAGGGAGGGTGACCTAGTAATTCCACGTCTTACTTCGCCAAGTTGTAGTAGATTGTTTGCTTGGCGGTGTGCGATGAGGCTTTGTCGTGGTGAAGGAGGATCCTACTGCGAGGTTGTTGCTCCCGAACTTTTTACAAGACAAGTGGCAAACAATTATTAGTGTACCACTCTGCAGTAACTGTTTTTCGATCCTCTAAACAATTGTTGCGTAATGACCTGTCCTTCCAAAGAAAGTGGTAACGTTAGAGCCATGATGCAGTTATATTAGTATTATAGTTGTAGCACGAATGGGTCGGCTCGACCGGGGAAGGACCACGCTCTCACAGAATACCAACGTAAAATAGCAGCTTAACTCTGTTGTGTTTCGTATGGCGAGTGTAGAGAACCGGAGACCCTTTTTACTGGAAATGAGGCATTCCATCTTAGTCCTCACGGGTGACAATGCATCTGCATTTGATTTTTTAATAGAGAATAGATATAGATGTCTATGGGCCGCAGCAACCACTTACCATCAGGCGGACTGTGTGCTCGTTTGTCACCCTTATCCTAAATAAAAAAGAAAGAACGAGGCCACCATTATTTTTCCCACCCTTCAACCTCTCTTCACTTTAGTTGGCAACTCCTCGGATGGAAACACGATCATAACAATAAATCCAGCTTTCGGCACCCGTAAGTATGTCGAACACAGCATTTGAGTCACCTCCGTTAAATCTTTGAACCATTTCACAACACCAATCAACACGACGGAGTTTTTGGGCCTATGTCAAATTATGAGGTATCCACTGGGCACAAAGCTTCCTGGCCGCTAAATGTTCCTGGTGGATTTTGTACACTTGACTCAGACCGATACCTAAGCTTGTCTGAATCTGCTGATAAGTCACTCTTTTGTCAGTTTTGTCAGTCGCCGTTTACGTGGTAGAGCCACGCTGCAGCTATATTAGTAGTATAGTTGTAGTACGAATGGGCCGGCTCAACCGGGGAAGGTCCACGCTCTCACAGAATACCAGCGTCATATAGCAGTTTAACACTGCTGTGTTCCGTATGGTGAGTGTAGAGAACCGGAGACCTTTTTTACTGGAAAAGAGGCATTCCATCTTAGTCCTCACGAGTGACAACGCATCTGCGTTTTTATTCGCAAACGAAGATAAATGTAGATGTCCATGGGCCACAGCAACCACTTACCATCATGTGGACTGTGTGCTCGTTTGTCACTCGATCTTATAAAAAAAAAAATAGAAGGCCTTCCCTCACGCAGATTATCGGTGACATTAGTGTGACCATGTTTAAACTCATTAAACCAGTTGTAAACAGTGGCACGAGATGGGGCTTCAGCGTGAAAGGCTAATTGAAGTCTATCATAGTCATAGTCAGTTTTCTTGTTGACTTAAATGACATCGAAAGTCATAAAATATCATTGTACGAAAATTTTGTCGCGTTAAATTCTTGCAGACGTGACACAGACAATTTTCAATTTGCCGCCAAATCGTAAACAAGAGACAAATTAATAAAAAAAGTTCCGTTTTCAAAATTTGAACTTATTTTTTATATGATCATCATATATCGTTTACAAGTGGCCAGTTCTAAAAATTTCCAGTGTCGCCCTCGTATATTCTTCTTCTTCATAGGCTTTTAAATGAATACTACTGGACATGGGCCTTCTATTGTATGAAGTATTTCACACTCAAACACACTCGACGGCGGATTGACTATTGCAGTGACTGATGTTTTTTTTTCTTATCATAAGCCAGTGCTTGATCACAATCCCACCAGGTGGTAAGTGGTGATGAAGCCCTAGATGGTAAATCTCACTGTCTTAACGTAACAAAAGCCAATTCAATCTTGGTTGAACATGCATTTCTATATATCGATAATAAATATGTGCATCAATTTACATGATACAAGGAAAATACACTATCATCAGTCTCCCAAAGCATGCCAGTTTAGAATCCAATTTAGAAATTTATTTATTGATACCACCTAAATAATGTGAAGTGTCACCATTGGTAATCATATTAGGTTACCTCAAATTTATTGATGGTATGTTTATGATTTATGACCACCTCAATGTTACTAGGTAATAAGACTCCTATTCTGTGGGGGTATGTACCACCCTATACTATTTCTGCTGCCAATAGCAGTGCCTGCACCGCTGTGTTCCAGTATGAGCAAGTATAAGATAATTACAAACTGTGAGGCATTTCATCTCAGTCCTAAGAAGTTACAATTATATATTAAAAAGTAATTGAAGTATGTAGTAAAGATTTTTTTTTCATAATTACAAAGCTTTGTATTTACAGAACCATTGATAAAACGTCTAAAATCCTCTTCGGAACACTTGAACTCTACAACTGAAAATAAATGGAGCAAGCTTTATGGCAGTGAATTGATTGTCTATGACAAGCATAACCGCTGCCTTTTAACAAACGGTGAATATGATTTGGTGCTACATGATGCTACTCCTGGTGGTAGAAGTGCCACTATTGCAAGATCTCCCCATAAAGCTCTAATGGCGCAATGGGAAACTATACCAAATGTAAGTTAAATATGTTTGACAATATTTAGTTGTAACAACTGTTCGTTGCACATCTTTGATTTTCATGATAACTAAATGTTATATAATATACTGCCACTAATGTAAGTAAGTAAGTAATGTTTAATAGCATTACTAGTATATAAAAAAATACTACGAAAGGAACTTCGTTCCAACCGAATGTTCCACGACACTCACGCAGGCTTTTTTGTGTTTGGAATCCATATGAAAGCACTTATCTTCTTTTTATAGAAAGGTTCAAGAGGTCTTTTTAATATATCTTTAGCGCCTTTATCGATACTATCCATATTTATATCCCACTAAATTTCTCCTCGGCTCTCTGAGTTACAACTCATTGCCAATACGGCGAGGGTGTCATAAAACTATCATGGCTGTAGATAATTCGCGGGAAGATAGACACTAAACCTGAGTGCCGAGCTGTACAAATAACTACTGTAGCTATCGCAAGCATACATTTTTTGCCTTGCCAAGGGCACGCACCGTTGGGCGCGCCAAGTCGCCTGTTCCCCGCGTCCGAACTGCACTTAACGCTCTCCTGGACACAAATCCTGAGTGCGACCTGTTTGCAGATGAATGGCCGGTAATATTGCCAGAATGCCTGAGGTTTAGTGACCGAGAAGAATGAATATGTTGTCTTTAATTAATGTAATTGGTTTTAACGTTTTAATTAAAGTAAAAATAAATAAATAACATTACTTGGTTGCATAATATATGGCCGTGTAGTGGTGGCATAAGAGAATACACTACCCCATATCTTCCCACGGCTCTCGTAAGAGGCGATTCAGGGAAATAAAATCAGATGAAGGTAGTAGCATCTTCCGGCCTATGTTTTGCGGTGTACTTTTAATAGGCTGTAATCAATGAATGAATATACAATGGAACATCTATTATGTATTAATTTTATTCACAACAATATGGATAAATTTTAACTATAAATATCAAAAATCGGTGCTAATGCAAAACATAAACATATTTAAATCATAAAGTAGTTTAATAATACTACTAACTCCCCCATGAAGCTTTATTATAAAGAAAACCTTTTTCCCTTAGGAAAAAGACTTGCATTCAGAAACAAACCCATTTGACATATTCAAAGTAAGACCACTACTAAAACTTAAGCTAAGCTGGAGTCAAGAACCAACAAATGGATTAGTTAATCGACCAAAATTATACCAACAATCAAGTGACATGAATGGCGTGAAGAAAGATGGTTCGAATAAAGAGAGGCTATCCACACAAAAACACGATGTTAAAAACAGTAAGTTATTTCGTAATTATAGGTTTTTTCTTATCGTATTGTGCGGAGAGTTCCATGAAAAATAACCCGAAGTAATTTTCTTAGGCGACAAATCAAAGGGCGAGTCCAGTGAAGCCGATGGCAAGAGGCAGCAGATCATCTACCAGTTCCTGTACAACAACAATTCACGGCAGCAGACGGAGGCTTGCGACGACCTGCACTGTCCGTGGTGCTCCCTCGACTGTGGCGCCCTCTACTCGCTACTGAAACACCTCAAACTTTGCCACTCGCGGTTCAACTTCACTTATTTCGTAAGGGCCTTTATTAAATGTTTTTCGGTGATGGCTTCAAGGTATATATCGCGCTAGCGAAATTTAAAAAACAGTCTATAATCACAACTTCGTATTACCACAAGGAGCATGGCTACATCTTGTCTTGTCTTGTCTTGTTGAAAAAACTACTGTTTTCCAATAACTTTTCACTTCTAATAGCTTTCTATCTTTTGTACATCACAATGCCTAGAAATAATTGTCCCAGGTCAGGATGTTAGTCAATATGTAATTTACCCTACTTTACATGAGCAATTATTGTATATGGTATTTAAATGAAATTTCGTATTTAAAAATGTATATATTTTTTAAGTTTAGATAGGTGGCAACCCAGAGCAAAATTATATTTTTTTTAACGCCGAGCTAAGCTATCTGGATAACCGATACTATAAAGGTAAAATGACTATGTATCTATACCTATTCACTAGAAAATTCACAAAAAATTTATGTATTAATAATACAAAAAAGAAGACAAACCGGAGTATTAACTACATCATAAACATATAAAATACAATACAAAAAAACCTGTGTTGCAGTATGAAACTGAAAATGGGCTAGTCTCACTGATAGTACTGGCTTTCCGCCCTTTTTTTTACATGTGGAAATGCATACCCACCTGTTGGAGGCAAGGACGGGTTATGTCAGACTCGCATCGATTAAAACCCCATGGTGTTCCTGCTTCATTGCATATTGGTGGGGCCACGGGAACGCTTCCGCACACATCCACGGCCATGCCACCTCTCTTTCTCAGGTAAGGCGCACCAGAATAAATGGCGTGCCTTCCTCCGCGGCCTCCAACTACATCTGCCGGGACGCCTCCGTGTCCGATGCGCGAAGGCCATGGGGTCAGGAATAACGAGCACTCAGAAGCACTAGCCTTCCTGAACCAGCGGTGGATCTGGTCTGTGGGGCTACACCGCCAAACAAAATTCTGCTGCGGAGGGTAGGACGAGCGCCGCCTCGCAATACCGACACTCCTCTCCCCCCGCAGCCCCACCATCACTGCATCAATCAACGGTGCGGCCCCGTCAGAGTCGCGGAGGATAGAACGAGTGGCGCATCGCCGTACCAACACTCCACCTTGGCTGCAGCGGTAGGGGAAGAGGACACCCCTCTCACCGCAGCCCATCAACACATCCGAAGTAGGCTCGCCAAGCCCACGCGGAGTGGCCACCTCGGGCCGGCCGTAGGGCTTAACAACAAAGAGGAACCCACATGGATGGCCCGAGGTCTACACCTGGGTTCCTCTTTGTTCACAGCGGGTGACCAAGCCACGGTTACTTCGCCTCGGGAACCTGTTCAGAAGGGTTCCAGTCCGGCCCATAGGCAATTAGGGCGGCTGTGGGTGTACTCGCTCGCTTTTAACATGTTCGAAAATGAATAAAAATATAAACTCTTTTGCAAAAAAAAAATATACGTGTACCCAACCATAGAAACAATTATATTGTTACTCTTAGATTGCTTGATAATTTTAGGTAGTCTTATAAGTACTTAGAATATTGTAAATTAATTAGCAACAAACAGTTTTCATCAATTAGTGTAGTGTACCTGCTCATTAGTAAAATTGAAATACTTTTTTTTTACTTTGTTTTATCTTTATTAAATTAAAAGCAAAAATAAAAGTTTAGTATGGAGTGTGTTAGTCTTGCTGAAATCACCAGTGAGTATATCACATACTTTAGTTATCTGATGATCTGCGGTGCCGGCTGAACTTCCCAGACATGCTCTATGGGATTAAGGTCGGGACTTCGAGCTAGTCAATCCAAACTACGATATCTGACCTATTAGCATATACGCTTCCACATCGTTCCATAACGTTAAACGCCCATAAAAATTAAGTTTTCGTTAAGCGGGTTGTGCACGAGCATTATGCATTCTTTAAAAATCAGCCAGAGGCAAAAATTTGAATTTGGAACAAACTTTTTTAAACACCATGGCATTTTTATAACCGGTCAGTAAGATATTTAAATAATAAAACCTTTCTCGTATTGTATTTTTTGAGGCAGGAAAAATGAAAACTTTCCGTTTTTTTTTTTTTGCAAATAAGTGTATTAAATTGCACTGAATGTAATATCTATATTATCTTTGTAACTAATAGAAAATTGATGGTAAATAAACACATGCAATATTTTTCACTATTTAAAAAAAATAAGCATGTATGTAATATGCCTTTTACTGTTATATTTTGTTTTCTTGTTTTTTTTTTTCGATATTGCAAATTGAGCCTGTATTTAAATAAGTACACACAGTACCATTCCGCAGCCGATTCCGGGCGGCGCGCGCATCGACGTGTCGATAAACGAGCTGTACGACGGATCGTACACGGGGTCGCCGCACGACCTGATCGCGGCGCAGGGGCGCGGCGCGGGCGCCGGGCCGCGCGCCGGCCCCACGCGCCGCGCCGCGCTCACGCGCGTGCTCGTGTGCCCCCGCCCCCGGCCCCGCGCCCGCCGCCACAGCCTCGCCGAGTTCCTCGAGCCGGACGACGCGGACGCGGACGCGCAGCGCCCCTACATCACCGGACACAACCGGTCAGTGCTCGTGTGCCCCCGCCCCCGCCACCACAGTTGAGCCACAAAGTTCTTCGAGTAGGACGACGTTAACGAGCAGTGCCCCATAGCTGATCAGAACTCGCTCAACTCGCTCACACTTGTGACTCACAGCCTCGTCTAGTCCATCGAGCCACACGGCGTCGACACGCAGCGCCCCTATCTTACCAGGCAGCCAGTAACAGTTCGCACATTCAACTGTCCCAACCTCGCCTAGTTCTTCGAGCTAGACGACATCGACGCGCATTACTCCTATATCCCCGGACACATTCGGTGAGTACTCGCTAGGTAGGCCCATGTTTCACAGTTCGCCAAGTCCCTCGAGCTGGATTAGAGGGACACGGTCATCCAGCCCCTCCTTCACCAGACGCAATCAGTTAAGGCATATTCAGTATTATTATCCAATTTTTTTTTTATTGAATTATGCAACTTTTAAACTAAGCTGGATAACCTTTTGAATCCAGTACTTGATATGATCCTTTATAAGAATGTGCAAACTTCTTTAAATCTTTACATCTGATTTCTTCCTTTCTTTGATTGTAAGCAGCCTGTAAAAGTCCACTGTTGAACATGTGCATTGTAGCGAGGATTTGTCACACTTGGCGAGCAAATTGACGATCGCAATGCGAGAAGTCTCGCACCTTCGCTGCTGCCCGCCACCGATCTGCATTTTTGATAGTCGCTTTTTGCGACACCTACGGGACCATCGATATATATGTACTACGTACTAGATTGCGCATTCCGAACATACATAATGTTCAACTGAACTGTACTGCAATCCGTACAGTGTGTCATTTAGTGTAGTTTCAATCTACTAGTTACTCTGTGCTTTCAATATTCATGCAGTGTGGAGCGGCGCTAATAATACAAGATTTCAAATTAAAGTTTAAACCTGGACGTAAATAACAATTCAGTAAAGTAAGTAAAATTATTTGTTGTTCAAGTTAAGAAATAGGTAATAATATCGTAATATTACTAAAGAAAAAATCATGAAAAAATATATTTGCTTATATAAGTATATACTATCTCCCGCGCATGCGCTAAGACAGAGTAGTATGCGCTAAGACAGAGTAGTACACATTTTTTTTGTTTAGAAAGGCGGCTTCTCTAGTACGTAGTACATATAACTCAATGTACGGGACGAAATGTGGTGATCAATTCTCTTACGCGCCACCAGACTGTATTACCACAAGTCATAGTTTTGTGATACAAATAATATTTCAAAATTCCGTAAAATAGCAATGAATACATAGAGAAATTTCTCACATTATCCAATTAGACTCACACCTAATATAGTTCTTAAAGACCGCAATTCTAAAGCCTTAACATCCCTTCATTGCATTTCGGATACATTCTGACATTCCACAATAGAGTGAAGAGCTCCATTCACTATGTGTCTTGCATTTTATTCTTAACTAAAAAGTGTATTGTTACTTTTACAGACTTTACCATCACACCATCACTTGTCTGCCTGTCTATCCAAACGAATTGGACATAGACTCGGAGAGCGAAACGGACCCGCTATGGCTGCAACAGAAAACTATGATGATGATCGATGAGTTCACGGATGTGAACGAAGGAGAGAAGGAACTCATGAAAATGTGGAACCTTCATGTTATGAAGTACAACTATGTGGGCGACTGCCAGATACCGCTCGCTTGCCAAATGTTCCTGCAAATGAAAGGCAAAGAGCTGCTCGAGAAGAACCTTTACAGAAATTTCATACTGCATATGTGTTCATTGCACGATTTTGGACTACTAAGCCCAGTCGCTTTATACCAAACTGTACAAATGCTCAACCAAATGCTGGCGGACAACGCCGAAGCCAAAGAAAAAATGCGCCAATCGCTCAAAGCGCAACGGGAACACTGGAATGCGATTGGGAAATATCAACAGCCTGTGATCATCGAGCAAAAACCACAAACCACCACCGCAAAGTTAAATAATGTAGAAGCGTCGCCGTCAGTTCGTAGAAAAACATCTAACCTCCAAAATGCCAATAGAATGGCTAGCACAAGTTCCAACTTTAACAAGTCTTCAAGTCCAGGGCCCAATAACAGTGAATCCAAAAGAAAAATGTCCTCCGGCAGTATACAAAGCCGCAAACGATCGTCTATATCAGAGAGAAAAAGTTCCGTATAGCGAATATTCAGTCTTTTATTTTTAGATGAAGGACTGGTCTCCATCTGAGGCTTTGAAGTACAACCTGAAAGTATTCTTCGGTTAACTAAATAGATTTCTAGGAGTCTCGTGTGTTTGCGCGGGTACAATATTAACACGAATTTTTAGAATAAAATTCCTGGCGGCAATATGAATTGCGCATGAAATTTTATATATAATATGTTAAGTCTATTACTTATTTTCTGAAAAGTGATTAGATCAAATTATTATGTTCAGTTTTTATGTTACATGTCATAGTTTTTGATTTTTGTTAAACAAAAAATACCTAATTCGAAAAAAAATCATTATTCAATACTTAATTATAATTTTCACTCATATAATTTTGCATTGTGTAACATATCCTTTGAACTTTTTGCTATAATTTTGTAATCAGCAAATCAGCAGAAATTGTTAATCTTATTTCTGTTTCAATACAAAATAATTGATTTTTTTCAATTCACCTACATACAAACCTATGAGTTCTTTAGCATTATTTATAACTTACTAACACTATGGGAAAGCATTTACTATTTCAATGTCATGATTATTGCAAACATCTCGCAAACATACAACTTGTCCCTGAACATTTGTCAAAAATAGTCAGTAACATGTTTAATAGGAAAGTTTTTGTAATTCTACTTCAATTTTTTGTATTGCAACTAACATATCAAAAAAATGAAATTTATAAAAATAGGCGAATTATGAATTGTACATTTTAATTATAACTATTTAATGAATAATTATTTGAAATATTTTTTTTTCAAACAAAAAATTAAATTTTTGTTTAAAAGACCATTTTAATTAGATGCCAAAAGCAATATGTCAACTATAGTCTTAAAGCTAGTGGGATTTATGCAGTGGCGGACTAACCGGAGGCGGAAGGGGCGGCCCGCCTTAGGCCTCTGGTCCTGGGGGCCCCCAAACAAATCCTAAACAAAGCTTTAAAAATATGCTTTGTACCTATCTAAGAGGTGGTTTGGAGTTGAGAGGTTCCATACAATTATGATCCCATACTCATCCGTATTTATATTCTATGTACGTTTATTTCAGTCAAATTAGAAAGCTTATAAGATTAGATCGCCTTCTTAAACTAAGGGCCTTATTCAGCTTTGCCGCCCCGGGCCTCTAACGGGCTTAGTCCACCACTGGATTTATGTATTAACTGAATCAAAGATTTTTTTTTAATAAATAGGTAGTGTTTTGCCTTTGATCTGTGACTGCTAGCACTGCCTGCCATTTCTCGTCACTGTTAAGTGTGTAAAAACTAAAAAGTAAAAACTTCATTCATGAACTCATTTTTATTATGTTCACTTTTTATGCTACAAGGCATAGTTGTCGATATACTAAGAATATTTAATTCAAATATTCATGAATTGATAATGAAGAGTAAATAGGCTGTTGTTATGATTCACCTCTAATCACTAGGTGTGATTGTAGTGAACTGGCTCATAAGACGACTAATAAGTAAATAAAATTATTTTAAATGCTCGTAATTTCTTTTCTCTATGTAATAACAAAGGCCAAACGAACTAAACTTTGGTTCGACCAGATATCTTCGCCATATTTCGGATATTCATGATATTAATTTATTGATAGCAGTAACACTAACATGTCAAGGTCAGTTTGTCAAGTGCCGAAATTTTACAATATTGTGATACTTATTAGTAATTGAAAATATCCAAACGATTCTATTTCGTTAAATAATATTACTGACTTAACGAGTAAAATGACAAGAGATTTATATTACGATCAGTACGAGTATTAAGAGGCAGTTGTCTACTTTAATATGGTAATATTGTCTTTAATAAACCTGTTTCTCTTGTTTTAGGTCATTTAACAAATAATGTCGCCAAAATCTGTCGCTCCTTATACTTTCTTGTCTTATCATATTTTCTTGTAGTATGTTCACAGTCTGTGCTTTATATTGACTTCTAACACTTAACATGTCACTGGCAAATTTATCGTAACGGACATTAAGGAAAAAGAACAAGACTAATATTCGCTGTTCTATGAAATAACTTTTTCTTACGAGTGCATCGCTCCTTTTTTAATATAATATAACAGAGAAGATAATCAACACTTCCGGTGTTTTCAACAACCAAAAAATCTTATAACCAAGAAAAATGGATAAGAGGAGACACTGTCTGCATTTTATGTAAGAGAGCTCTTTAGGTGAAGAGATTGCTTGAGGCTATTATAGTATTTGTTGCTTTTATTGTCGGGAAACTATAATCGCCTAGAAAAAGATCGAAACATTAGTGACGCTTATATCTATTAATGAAATCACATCATGCACCAAACGCCAATAATATGAAGTGCTCGATCAGGAATACTTAATTCATAAGAATGTCGCTAATAGAATATTTATTACTATGCGATTCAAATAAGAATAGGACTGACCCGGCGCCGTATTGTGACGTCATCAATTTAACCAGTCAAATGCTGCTGCCAATTTAAAAAAGTTAAGTAGGGTGAGCAAAACAGAGATTTCGAAGTAATATTTATTAAAAAAGAACCATGAACGTAAAAGTAGTAATCTGAATCTAGTTTAATCTAATTTAGCTCATGTCCGCATCACTATCTGAGTAGTCATCATTCTCATCAGCTTTTCCTTGAAATAGAACATGGATTTATGGTGGTATTTAAAATATTCCACAGACTAGCATCAATATTTTATATTAATTTATAAAAAGAACGGAGTTCAATAGATTTGGTAATACTAAGACTCATATATAGCGGAAAAAAACGTTATTAATACGCAAATTAATTTTCTTTGCAATCCGTACTGTTTAAGTGACAGTTGACAAATCGCGTTCATTCGAGGCCATTGACGTTCCTATTCTTATGAGAATCGCATTGTCCCCATTGCAGGGATTAATTTTTTTCGTACTTTTATTAACATTAAAATGTAAATAACATAGGTACTTGAAAATTAATGACAATAATATTTATTTTTTGCAGCATAGCATAACAAATTGTTTAATAATTTTTAACAAAGAGTAATTCACATTCCCCTAATATACCTTAGAGTCATCAGATGGAATGTTAATTTATAACTGCAGTAATCTTATTCATTAGTGTCAGTAAGATCATGAAGTGAAGAAGAATTACATTGAAGTTGGTTGGGCAGCCGTTGCGGTTGGATAGAGACGCAAGGCCATCTTATTATGTGACGTCATGTTTAAGCATACTATACTTAACATCTTAAATTATCAATAAAAAGAAAAACATAAAGAAACAAATTATGAAAGCCAATAAAACAAGGAACCTAATAAATAATAAGATTTTTTAATTGACATCGTACAGACCAGGATAGAAACGTAAAATATTGTACAAACGGTAGGGAAAGAGATAGGACGCTATTTTTAGATTCTATTTCTTGTTGGAGTATTTAAAGTAACTAAAACAAGTTAATTTACTAATTTATTTAAGAGTTCATTTGTATTTATCTTACCATTTCATTTTATAATTAAATACTCATTTATATTGATTTAATTTATTTCATACTGAGAAAGGAAATGAGTAAGCTATATTACTGCATATAGCTTACTCAACCATTTATGGTTTCATTTTCACTATAAAAATAACGACAAGGATACTAAGTAGGAAACTCATATTTACTTTGTTCATCATCATTTTTAATATTTCGTTGGGAATTCGTGTTCCCGAGTGTTAAACAGCTTCTAACGAGCAGTTCTAACTTTCGTAATAGAATTTGAGTTATTGTCATTGTTTTATAGGGGTTGATGGAGAGGAAATTATTTTTTTATTTTAGTAAATCCACAGCATTGTAAGATCTCAAGAGTCAGAGTGTTATTCATCGAATTCTGATGATCGATTCTTAAATAAGTGAAAATAATTGTATATTATACGAAGTAAATGTGATATCTCAATGAAGAAGCTGGTCGGGAGATATCTTTTAAACAATAAAGACATCAACCTACCGTAATAACACTAATAAAATTAAAAAAAAATCAAGATAAAATTGCTTATCGGTAAGTAATTGCTATAAAAAGGTATTCGAATTATATTTGCATATAAAATAAATTGTACGGTAAGATAATATAAAGATGAAGTAAGCTATAATATGTAATGCAACCTTTACTGCCATTAAAAAAGACTGTAGATCTGATTGCCTTATTGAAACGTTTCAATAGAATATTTTATAAGGGCCGATGTTTAATCCTCCGTAAAAAATATTCATAGGAATACAACAAACAAATTGAAAATTACAGTTGTATCAAGAAAACAGTTCAATTGTTTCACTTATATGTTCAGTCAGGTTATAATAATATATTGAATTGATAAATTTTTCACGGTGGAAAATCTGGCCTAAATATAATAAATTGATTAGATTGTTACAGTTGTAACGTTATGTTTACCATAAGTTATATTTGCTTTTTCTTTACTATTTTCCGATTGAGCAGTGATAATTTAAATTGGTTTTGTTGTATTGTATTGTTCTATTTTGTGATAGGGTCAGTAATAACTTGTACTTATGAAATGATAATATAACAATTATTTTCAGAAAATTTTAGTTTTATTAGATACTCTGTTATAAAATAAACTAAACTAATTTGCTACACCTCCACTGCAAGAGAGTCCATCGCACCCATCCTTATCTATGTGCTGCACATGTATGTGAACATCTGAGGGAAATACTGTAAAATGTCTAAATGATTTTATAACTATTTAAAACTTAATCAACACCCCAAACCAATAACGAAAAAGATTCCTTGTCTTCGTATCAACATGAAAGTCGCAGAAAATAGTGAAAACTGGTAGAGCCTCGCGGCAGCTTTTGCTGTCGCACGGATGGGCCGGCTCTTACCGGGGTGGTACCACGACCTCACAGAATACCAGCGTGAAGTAGAGGTTTACCTCTGCGTTGCGCTTGGTGAGTGCAGGTGGCCGGAGGCCCAATTATTAATTTAACATGGTAGCGGAATTATAGAAAAGACTACCCCAGGAGGGTACCAGCA